TGAAAGTGGTATAATTAGCATTGGAGGTCAATGTTTTGACCTTTCACCTACAAACAGAGGTCTTTATTGTTTAAACGGATGAAAAATTAAACTACAGATCACTTTTATATTCAGCCAGTTTCTTAGAATTTAATCCAGATATTTTGTGCAAGAATTGCATCATCATCAGTTCAAAATGTGTCTGACTTTTATAAGTAAGAAACAGTATTTATGACTAACAAATGCTATACAGCTGAATGGACAGATTTACCTAAATTACAGAAAGCAGAAAGCTTTTAAGGATTAGGACATTTTGAAAATCCCCCTCTGACTGTAAAACAACCAGAAACAAAATGTTCCAAGTTTGTGTTGCAACCTTTTTCTGAACAGAGCTGACCATGGGCCAAGTGCTTGTCGATAGCTGAATATCCAGTTAATTTAACTCACGCGGCTGTTTGTACAGAGACCTGCCTGATGGATCTCCAGCTGCCTTTGACAAAGTCAGCTACAGATACAGAGCAACATACAGATACAGATACAGCCATGAAATTAAAACTAAATTTGTGAGTATTTTGCAGATCATAATTTGATACAAGGCATACAATAACTACAACATCTGAGCGTTGTGGTCACTAATGAGAGACAAAATTCATCAAGATAAAAGCCTGATATGATATTCCTCTTGGACAGTCTCCGTGCATTTTCCAAATTTTCCTAGTTCTACTTCCAAATGTGTTGCATCACTTTAACAAAAATCCAATATGAACATGATATAAAGCAGTAGCAATAGTCTCTGTTGCCATGTTTTAGTTAATAATTTCCAAGCATGTTTTATTGGGTGATTGGGGAGAAGAGTGGCAGTCAAAGTTATGTCACGTGAAAAATGCCTTTTTGGAACTCCCCTTAAAACAACATGACTATTTTTTAGTTTTAATTTCCCATTGGAATAGAAGAACTATACATGAATTAAATTGAATTTGTGTGTGCCTGGTTAATTGCCCTGTGTCTCTGTGGGTTGGACTGTTGACCTGTCCAGAGTATAAACCACCTCCCACCCACTGATGGTTGGAGAAAGGCACCATCCTCCTGCAGCACATTAAGAAAAACAAAAATGGGTGAATCAATTACTCCAGAGTGACCCGTGTTTCTCCAAGAACTGCAGTATTTGTTTTCAGATTTAAGAATTTAATTATGGTACTTCATCATTAAAGTGCCATCATTAAATTCACTAAATGTAATGTTTCAGTTGTTGATTCTATGTTGCATGACTTTGTATTTTTATGCCTTTTTTGATGTAAAGCACTTTGAAATGCCTTGTTGCTAAAATGTGCTATACAAATAAAATTTTATTGACTGATTGATTTTACTGCATCCATATAGAATCACTAACTGACCAAAGATGACTTTAGACCTTTGGTCTTTTGAGCCTTAAACCTGAATGATCTTAACCACACATATAGAATAGCATTATAAAATTGTAAGCAACATCATCTACATGTCCTGGCACACAAGTTAAGGAAATATTTTGACTATAAATATTAATATGGAGACTTAGTTAGATGTTTCTCTTTTTTTTGCATTTCATTAAATAGAAACATTTGGATTTATGAAGCTTCATTACTCACTGTGCATAGTGGAGGTAAAATGAACAATGGGTCCACACTTTCCTCCCCCCACTCCTACTGTTGCCAATATGAAAGACTTTGTAATTGTTTTTCTTAGTACATATGAGCAGTTTTAATAAGAAGCCATTTTATTGTAGACATTTTCTGACCTTTGAAGATCAAGTTACATTTACCTTTATTGACTTGAATTGAATTGAATTGAATTGAATGAGATATTTTCTTGTCTATCCTACTTCAAAGAGTGACTAAGAGAAATAGGCCTCTGTGTTTTGTCATATCAGGGAAATGAGCAACAGATCAACTTAAAAGTAAAGGATAAAATGCAAAAATGTTTTGGTTATAATTTATTTTGTAGCAACTTTTAGGGGTGCCGATAATTATGGATATGGTGAATTTGTTTTAAAATTTGTCAATGGTATTTGTGACACACTGAGGAAATTAACTCAAATTAAGAATGAGGTTTAAAAACACCTCAGTGAAAATTACTGGGTCTATGATAAAAACTGTTTTACTCTAAGGTTTCTGAATATTTTACCAGGACTGAGAAGAGTTAGTGATGTCTGTTTTTTTTTTGTTTGTTTGTTTGTTTAAATAAGGTTGTATTTTGCAGCTCCTTTTGTTAAAGTGCAGCCAGTGCTTCTTGGACAGTGAAGTGGTCTGAATGGATCTCTCCTTCTCTGAGGACTAAAGTCATTTGGATTTATTTGAATGATGAAATCCCCAAACTTATTGCAGCATTACCTTGAGAACTGTTTAATTATTTGCATACAGTCACACACCCTCTGTCTTATCTCTGAATCCAAGAGGCTTGGCTTCTGTCATATGGTCTTCCTTAGGTAACCTGTCACGTTACTTGGATCATATATGAGGCATCATATCAGACAATATCTTTAAAATCAACTCCTATACATTGTTTCTTTTTTAATCATGTTGCAGACATAATTTTCTCCGACTTTTATTGAGGACAGGTTTTTTTTTATTATTTACATTCACAACTTAAATTCGGCTCCTTGATGTTGTCCATGACCCAGTTTCTGATTATGTAAGTTTGCCCTGGTTTTAAACTTTGACTTTTACCTTATCCATCGCTTTTGAACGAAGGTTAAATCCTGACTCTCCTGCCAACCATCAGCGTTCTGCGGTTGGAGTTTGAATTTTTCCAAATTTCTGCCTCAGGTGACGTTTTGCCTTGGAGTCCGTGCATAAAATGTAAAAAGATAAATAAAAAATAGATCCCTTAATTTTTAATGAAACGTAGGCCCAGCATTTTAAGACCTATGTGTCCAGCCTGTGAGCTTTACATGTTAGACATTTACATTTCTGACTTACTGTCAGTCAAATAAAATCACTTGGAAAGTAGACATGAAAAAAGGCTCATGTATTCTCCTCCATTCTTGCAGATGTCACATGGAAAAAGGAAAGAATTTTCCTTCAAGAGCACAAGCATCCCTTCTTGAAGGTGTCAGACATGTGTAAAAATACGCTCAAGAAAGTGAAAAAGTAAAAGTTGATGTGTCTTCATCCATCTAAGCAGGCTACATGGCCTAAAAAAAAAAAGTCCTATTCTTTCTTCATTCTTGATTTACATTCTGAAAGTGCCACCGCTCTCAGTTAAAAAAAAAGAAATGTAAAGCAGGTCCTTTATTCCACAGATATTACAGGCCTGATGAAAAATAAATATATGAACCAAAAAAATGAGATAACAAGAAAACCTCCCGTTCGTGGCTGCACTCCTCACTGATTGCTTTGCTCCAGTTTCTTATCAAAACTCGCACCAATTCTTGGAAACACAACCTTTCTTCCCTCTGCTGTCGGTGATCCAACAGATGCACCCAAAGTCTTAACGATTTCCACTTTGTGTTGCCTGGGAAATCACTGACAGGCACACTTGTGACATGGAAAACACTTACTTACCCCAAGTTAAGTGGCCAAGAGGAAATTGTTAAATGGAGCAAGATTACCAGAGGCAACATCAATTGAGGGAACCATGTTTTGGTTGAAACAACTGCTGGTTGAAGGGGGGAAAAAAACAACTAATTTCTTACCCTAATATAATAAAAGAATTGAACTAAATACTGAACTAAATACTGAATTAAAATAATGCTATGATTTTATACATTTAATACAACATTGTGCAAATGTTTTAAGCTATAGCTTCAGTTTCCTTATGTTTGAACTGCCTTTTATTTCATCTCTTACAGTAATCTTGATCAAAGGAGCTTAATGTATGCTGAAAACAGACTTGTTTGTTAGTTTCTACTCAGTCATTCTACATATAAAAGTGCACCATTTGCTTAGAAGTAAAAACAATTCATATGTTGAAAACAAAAGAAGAGTATATGAAAAAGTAATACACCAACAAAATCCTGACACAAAATTTCAAAGATTTTTTTTTTTAATCTAAAATATCTTTGAACTCAAACACAATTTAATCTCTGTCAAAGTATGTTAGCTTTGGGTTTCTTGGTTTTAATTTTATATTTGTTAAAAGTTATTAGTAAATTATCTCACGTCTGTTAAGTGCAAACACAATGTTGGTTTATCCCTTGAGTTCCAAAGACATATAAACTCTGAATGACGCAAAAGTCAGAGGGTTCAGAAGCTCAACAAACAATAAGGCATTTTCCTGGACTCAAAATAGATAAACACCCAAAGTAAAAAGTTTTTTTTTTTTCATTTCCCTTTGACTATTATTTTTTCAATAGTTTAAGAAAATTATACTGGGGGTTATTATTTTATATGGCCTCAAAATAATTCAATCTCCATGTGGGTCAGGTGTTTTTATACCTTTACTTAAAGTTATGTTCTTATATCCTGAAAATAATAATAAATAAAACAATTTTTAATTCTTATGTATATTCTTATTTCTGTTCAATATAATATAAATGTTTTCAAGCACAGTTGACAATTTATTTGAGATTAAAATATCATTAAAAAGGTACAAAATATGTTGATAGTGTAAAGCTTTTCAAGAGTTTGCTTAGAGCAAGAGTCATGTTATAATACAAATATTATTCAAAATGTAATAATTAGCTGATTTCCAAATTCCCTAGTGTTATGCACTAGGGAAGAATTATTTTTACTTCAAATAATTGAGAACTTTCACTATGAATGAGTTGATTTGACCTGCATTGTAATATGAATCACTAACGGGCAAATAAATTAGTATAGAAAAATCAAACCAATATTTAGTTCTTTGACAACACAAAATAATTGAAATTTTATTTTGACAGGACTTTTGAATTTTATTTAAAGCTAAACTTTCTTTTCATTTGGTTCCTTCACCATTTTCCTTTTTTCTTTATTTTGTTCTGCGCTGCATACTCCTGTCCAGCAGGTGTCGTTTTCATCCGTAATTGTGATCCACCCCTGAGCTCAAAGGGGAAGAAGAAACTGCGACGCGTCTGTTTCCACCGAGTCAACTCTGATAGGAGTGTCTGACTAATGAAGTTTTGATTTAACTACTGAGATACATAAAATTGCGTTGTGATATAGTGACGGTCTATTTTTACTACATATCTGAGCGTTTTAGTCGATGTTACCTCAGTCAGTTGTGTTGTTTTGACGGGAACTGAAGGGGTTTTGCTACTGTTTTGTCCCGGTAAGTTAGCTCGGGCCTCACAACATATAGCATCTGTGGCTAATTAGTTTCAGTATTTCAATAACAAAAATGTTTGTGAAGTTAACTTAATGACTATTTATGTCAACAAAAGTCTACGGGACTGTCTGCTAGTTACACCGGTAAACGCAGCAGACCGTAAACACCCTTCCATCTGTCGGCACGGAGGCTACTTTCGCTTGTGGTTTAACTCCAGTCGCTGAGCTGCCTAAGAGATAAAATACTCTCATGTGATCCTGCTTGTGTCGTGTGTAGACCACCGTGTCCTCTTACCAGACCTGATCTTGCGGCGTCATGAAGCTCTACAGCCTCAGCGTCCTCTACAAAGGAGCGACCAAAGCCAACCTGCTCAAAGCGGCCTATGACCTGTCCTCCTTCAGCTTCTTTCAGCGCTCCAGGTGAGCCTTACTGACCGCTGATCACAGGCTTGTCCCGAACAATTACAGTTTATGGAAAGTCTCCTATAGCATTTCTTGTCCAGATCTCTATTAATATTTAAAAAACGAACAATACACGTAGCTATGTTTATGTCTTTTAGGTACAATCTACATCAAAACAAACAGTTTCATCCAAAAAAACTTGAGTGGGTTCTTTAAAAACGTCAAATAACATACTTCTACTTCTCACTTTTATTAAAATTCAGTTTCTCTCCAGATAAATGAGACTTGGAAGTATATTGTTGTTGGACAATGCTCTCTCCAATCTGGAGATTTCAAGAACTCAAGTGCAAAAGTCCTGACAATTCCTTACAGGTCCCTCACACTGCAGCATATCCATAACTCGGATGTCAGACTCACCTCCACATGCGAAGAAAATTTCTTCCGTTTAATAAATTCAGAACCAACTGCAAGAACTTTTAAACCAGTGATGCTTGTTTGTCCTTCCAGGTCTTTTCATGCAGAGTTTGTACTGGCCTATTCTGTAGATTTGTTGTTGTTTTTTTTTTCTACAATAATTGTTTACCGTTTTTCCATGAGCAATAAAATTATCTTTTATACCTTTAGTGTTCAGGAGTTCATGACCTTCACCAGTGCCTTGATTGCAGAGCGAACATCTGTTGGAACCCGTGCCTCAGTCAAAGAGCAAGGTAAGACCGATTCTGATAGTAAATTAAGCTATATTACATTATATTAGTTTGCATTTTGGGACATTTCCAAATTGTGTGATCTTATTTTGCTGATGTGTTATTTTATAGATTTTTAATGTACAAATGTAAACAAAGCAGAGTTTTAATCTGTTTTTTTATTTTCATTGCATTTCTTTTTATTAGAAGGCCCTCAAACATTTCCTTGTTTAATATTCCTCTGCTATTTATTTCCACAATCATTTACCCAGTTTTCTGTTTACATTCATTTGTTTTCCCTGTCTTGAGTTGTATGTTAATGACTCATAAAGGAGGCAGCCTATCACAATCCAGCTATAAGAAAACTCTCACCTGTTTTTTTGTTTGTTTTTTTTTCTTTTTAAGTTTCAAAAGTGTTTAAAGTTGCCAAAAGAAGAATGACGATTATCTATTACATTTCGCTTGAGTTAATTGGACTGCATTTATTAAAATATATTTGCAGAGTATCTTTGCCATGTGTATGTCAGAAACGACAACCTGAGTGCTGTGGTGATCTCAGACTCTGAGTATCCACAGAGGGTCTGCTTCACTCTGCTTGACAAGGTGGGTATGAAAACAAAGCAGTTTGGTATTATTTTGCTTTCTACTATATTTCTTTAAAGTGTCTTGTGGTGTGTAGGTATTAGAAGAGTTTTCCAGGCAAGTGGACAGTATAGACTGGCCGTCTGGTAATCCTGACACCGTAAGCTACAAAGGTCTGGACATTCACCTTTCGAAATATCAGGTAGGTTTATCTACCATGTGAAAACCTGTTTGAATATCCTAATATATTAGAATTACAATTTCTTCTTGAGTCACTTGTTTTAACATCTGCTAATAAGAAGGTTGCAAAAACGTTTTAGCAAAGATAAATATGTGTCCCTTTAGAAGACAGATTGAATCATTTTGCAGCATTTTAAGCCAGTCATGTTAAAGCTGACGTCTGGTTTCGATCCAAATGTTATTCTTCTTCAGAACCCCAGGGAAGCAGACGCCATGACCAAAGTACAAGCGGAGCTGGATGAGACAAAGATCATTTTGGTAAACCTCTTCACAGTGATTGCAAATTAATACGAAATGGGTGTTGATGTTTTGGTGTATATAGGTATTAAAGTTGTTTGTGTATTGACTCTCTAAGCCTTGCAATGGCAGCAATGCAAATTGAGAAGTTGACTTGTTGTTCCCATTATGAGGTATAATGGAGACTGCCACTTCCTTCCGAACAGTCTGTTTGTGTGCCGTAATTAGACCGATGAGTTTGTCCTTTATGCTTCAGCTGAATTAAGATAGGAAACATCCAGCACATCCTCAGCTGTACCATCTCAAACTGATTAAGAACAAATTAAATTATAGAATGGAGAATAATACAAGCTTTGACTTGCTTTTGCTAAAAAAAAAAAAAAAAAGAAACATATGTTTTGATCATCACCTGTCAGTATTTACATTCTTTAAAGCCTTTTTTTAAGAGTATATATATATATATATATATATGTGTGTGTGTATGTAGAACTGGTGAATCTGTGTCAGATTTTAAGGCCCCAATGGATCACCCTGAAACCTTTAACTTAGTAAAGTCACTGTTTGAACTTGACTACAACTAATAAAGGAAAGTGCAGATTTATTTTAATCCAGAACAAGCAGTGAATTTATCCTTTGCCACACTCCAAAAATGGTAAAACTATTTCAGTGTTTTCACAACCCACAGATAGATCCAGGTTACTACTGAAGCAGTAAAAGGCTAATATTTTGTCTTTTGTTGTGCAAAGATAAAAAACAGAAAAAGCTCAAGAGAAAGATCTAAAAATGTTTCATCTAGTAAGGCAAGGAATGATGAAGTTATTTGGAAATCTAAACTTTTTATATACCCTGGAAAGGTCTGAAAAAGTTTAAGTAGGAAATAATTTATTGAGCCATTTTATTTAAAAAAAAATACTAAAAATTTACAAGAGCAGCTAATTCTGTCACACTAATTTAACATTTTTGGTTTACAGCTGTTATGTTTTAGTATGGACTTGCAGGTGTTATGTTTTTCAATAGGATCTCCTCATTTTACATGACTATTTGATAGCTTTGAATAAAAGTCTGTGCTGCTGCACTGTTTCATGACAAAATGTTGTCCTCTGCAGCACAACACCATGGAGAGTCTGCTGGAAAGAGGAGAGAAACTGGATGATCTCGTGTCAAAGTCGGAGCACCTGGGAAACCAGTCTAAAGCCTTCTACAAGACTGTAAATATGGCGGACTCTCCTGTAATATTAAACTGGATTCATGCTGCTGCTACAGCGAACATTGTGGTCTTTGCTACCTTTGCAGGCACGGAAACAGAACTCCTGCTGTGAAATCATGTGACGCTGCCGCCTCGTCCTTGTGGAAACGTCTTTCTGGCTTTCTGCTTTTCCTACAACCCCCATCATGCACCAGCGACGCGCTCTCCAACAGGACGCTATGTCAATCCCAGATGGGGAGCAGGAAAAACGGTGGCCACTTTTAAACGGGACCTCTATGTGATGGGGGCTGAAGGACTGAAGGCGTTTAGTGGGAGGAAGTAACAGTTGTGAATCATGCTTCAAACCTTATCTAAGGTGAAACATCCGTGTGGCGATTCTGACCAGCTGAGAATATTTTAGCGTGACGTTGAGAACTGCCGGTGTGTTGTTAGAACGTCTTCAAACCATTTAATGTTATTCAGGTTGAATCTAAACTCAATATCTTGATCTCTTAAACTTATTGACAGAGTATTAACCACATGTGTGCTTTTGCTTCAAAGCAACTGACAATCTCATATATTCAACATGTCAAAACTGGGTTTCTTGTTGCTAGGAACATATATGTCCAACAGGGGGCACTATCTTTACGTACTATAATCTCAATTAGACTCGGAAAGACACAATATCACAACTTTGCAGTCTTTTATGTGAAATGTTAAGCATCTTTGCATTGCTACATTTAGTTGCTTTATAGCCTTTGTCTGTCTGATGTTAAATTAAGTCTTCAACATTCCTGCCTTGACTGATTGTGTTGTGTGATGAGACTTAAAGCTGAAGAGGGGTAGAAGATTTGGTGTCAAATATGTTAAAAATTTCTAAGCATGTTAATCATTCATATATCCAAACACGTCACCTGAACAGAGGTTTGCCCGCTCAGAAAAAGCTGCACTTGTCTTCTGTTCCTCTTGAAACATAGATTGCCCCCACAGGAGCCCAAACCTGTCTGGGTGGGTTTTAGTCACTCCACTTCTGACTTTCACTTGCATCGAGCACCGTTTGCTTCATATTGAGTAGAAAAATTGTTTCTGATGAAACTCTGCCTTCAGATCTGTGTTTCAGATGTTTCTCTGCTCGCATTGTGTACATTTGTGATCCAACATACAGCTGCAGTCTGTGTAGATACTGAGTGCCTGTGCGTTTGTGTGCTGAGAAGCTTGTTGTGCCGTCTGTTGCTCTTTCTGCTTTTACAGTGTAAACTGTGGTGCAATATCTGCAGACTGTTGCTGTGTGTCTCTTTTGCAGTGCAGAAAAAAGCTCAAAATGTTTCTCACAACGGACACGTCATTAAACTTTGATGAGCTTTACTTTCGACTAATATTGATGAGAGGCTTGTCCAGTGAGTTTCTTGTTTTGTTTTTCCAGATCTTTGACTTAGTCTCTTGAAAAATGTTTTTCTGTTATGCTGTACGCTCCGGTCCAGTGGCCGCTGTTGGAACAGTGGTTTTAAACGGTTTGCATTAAATGTTTTGATCCAAATGTGAGCCTCACTTTTAAATTCAGTTGATCAGCTGTCATTTTCTGTCTTTATTGGAACGAGTTTGTTGCATCATAAGGTTGTTCAAGTTCTTTACATGCTCAGATAAAAATCTAAATACCTTTGTGCCCCTTCTTTTCATTTGTAAAAGTATTAATTATATTTATCCACAAATCAGGTCAAATTTGTGGAGTCATTCTGTCCTGTCCTGGATGGAGAAGCTGCTAATTTGCTCTGAGAAATGTGTTACAAAGGAAGAAATTAAAGAACGAGCGGTTTGCAGATGCAGGTGCTTTAAAAGAGGAAACATATTTTAATTTATCGGACTGTTGCCTAGTAATTTTTACATAAACATGTAGCTTACAAGCTTTTATTTAAGAGTATCCAATCAGCTCAATTTAGATTTTTTTTTCTTTTATTCATACAGTTAAAACAGCATGCCCTTTTCTGTTGCACAAATAAAACAATTCTCTAAAAAATGAAAACATTAAGTAGTCGTGTTTCTCAAATCCCTTTATGGAAAATAAAAATGTGTCCCTAAAATGTAACTAATGTAAATAAAGAAAGCGGTTGACTCTCATTTGGTAGTAAAATTCAAGTGGAAAATCTGCTCTATAAGGTTTATTGTAATTTATACATAAATACTTTTGGTAAGCTCTAAGATGTGGTCAGCAATATTTAAAAGAGAATCAAAAAGACGTTTTGTATTATTGTTAAAGGAAACGATCTCCAGTGTTATTTAACCAAGAAATAACTATTATTAAAAATGTTAATATTCTCCATTGTTTATCAGTCTTAGTATTTTTTTTTTATTTATTCTGAATATTTGTATGAATTCTTTCTGCCAAATGAATGAAGTCCATCTATTATGGATATGGCTAAAATATCCAACTGCATGTCCTAATGTGTTTTAAACCACTACAGGTAACGATCCTTTGTGAAGAATTGTAAAATGCGAGTTTGAAGGAGGTCCGTGAATGCATCACCAAAGGCGTTGAGGGTCGCAGCTGAAGCCCAGAAAGCAACGAGCAGTTCAGCAGTTTCAACTTGTAGCTCTGAAATGTGGACAGAGATGGAAAACAAAAGCTTGGCTATCGGCCGCCAGACTTTTATCTCAAAGATGAGCAGCTAGTAGCTCTTCTCAGCTGCACGATGGTTTTTGCAAACCTGAGAACATGCGATCAAGTCATATCATTATTTTTGCTTTGATGTCCACAAATTGTTCAATTTTCAGCAGTAAAGTTTCAGCTGTTGCAGTGAGCTGCAGAATAGTTTTGATTTTCCTTGTGATTTTTTTCTTCCCCCTGTTTTTAGTTTAAAGCTCTGATTGAGACAGCAGGTGCTGAACATTACCAGCAGTGATGCTCTGCCCTGCCTGGAATCACTGCCCTACTGCTTTGTTCACGCAAAGCAGAATATTTTTGCTGCATTTCAGATGGTTGACCCAAATCCGAGAGAAGAGCTTTTAAATGTAAATGGTAAGCTGCTGTCTGGTTAGAGGCAAGTTGTTTATGCTGCCTTTACATGCATGTTGAGTACAACGGTGTCTTTCACAACAGATAGTGTTAATAAACACAAAGGGGCTTTACGATTGCTACACTTAGATCAGATTGCAGTGCCAAACAAACTTTAGATCCAGTCAGTTTGCTTCAGGTGAATTCAGTTGAGCCATACGTCATCCTATCAGGCCTAAAGGATAGCCAACCAACAGTGTGCCTGTTCCCTTATTTTAAAAAGAAATGTTTCATTGGTTACTACGGTTTTATTTAATATAGCATACACAGGTGCATCTTAAAACATAATCCTGATAAGTGTCTACCTTTTTGTTTATTTTGCCCTAAGATGGGCCTAAATGGTGGTTATGTTGACTTACATGTATTGTAATTATTTCTGTAAGACCATAAAAAAAACCTTAAAATGTAAGATCTTGAACACAAAAATAACAGAATAATAAAAACATATACATTTAGAAAATGTCACCGATATCGCCCTTTAGTTTCACATCAATTAACATGTACATCTATTTTAAAATTCAGTTTTGTTAGCAGTGTTTTCGTTTCTCTGTATTGGTTTGTTAAAGTTTCCAGTGCAGCTGCCACTCATCCGTCCAACACAGAGGATTCTTTAACACGGGCCAACGGGATCATACCTGGTGAGCAGCTTTTCTGTTTCACAGTCGACCTTTGTATCAACAGCTTAAAAGAACAGCTTTACAGACAAACACTTTTGGCACAAAAGGAATGAAAATTTGTGTTTGGTTTATTATTTCTTTGTTCTAAAATATCCTTCAACTAATGGAAAGTCAGTTCGTCTAGTCTTTAAAAATCCTGTCCAACAAGTCCTGCAATAAATGAGCATTTCTGTTCAATAAATTACAAATGTAAATGCTGGGAGGTGGTTTACTTTTGTGAAGAAATGTGATGCGTTTGTGTTGATAAAAAATATTGCTGTTGTTTTAAGTTGAAGGAATAATTCAAAATTTAAAGCCTGAGTTGTGAAAAAATTAAACAACAATCATTAAAAAAATTATACATCACTGTTTTCATTTTTTGTCAGAGGGAAGATGAAGTGTTTGTTAAATGTGTTATGACACATTTCCTGCATGAAGAAACCAGTTTAGCGAGTTAAAAAGATTACAAAGCTGCATTATGAACTGCCTTATTGCTGAAAATGTGCTATGCAAATAATCTTGATTAATTTATGGTTGTCATTCCTGAATCACATCATATTTGTGTTTTTAGGTGCAATAGCAGCCTCTGTGTTCATTGCCTTTTTGCTTGCTCTCTACACTGTTCTCTGGAAAAGCATGACGTCGCCACTGCAACGGTAAAAATCCAACACAAGCTGGAACCCGAGTATTCAGGGGCCTCATTTGCTTGATGTGTGTCAGAGTTGTTGATCTGATTGGCTCCTCCTTAAACACATATCAGGCACATATTTGAACTTTGTACCTCAGCTCACAAAGAGAGAAAAAAAAACAGTTTCTGCATTTTAGGCTTTTTGGTGTAAATATTCTGTAAAAACTTAACTTCTGCTTGTCTCTCAGAAAGAAAAGCAAGAGGAGAGGAAGGGCACAACAGACGGTGTCTGTGTGAAGAGGATGAACATGTGTTCTGTCCAGCATCTTTAAAAACCAGGACAAACATCAGGAATCCCATGTTGTTCTCTGAAGACAATCTTTAAAAAAACATTCTGAAAAAAGAAATGAGTCAGTTGGATGTGATTCATCTGATCCATGGTCTGCTGGTGACCTTTGTTCACTCAAAGGCTGATAAACTGAAACACAGTTTTGCAAGTCAGACTACTTTTTCTCATGCATGTAACTCCAGCTGCTCTTCTCTCCAGCGTCCACAGAGCAGAGTGTTGAAAGAGGTTAGATATATTTGTTTTTTATGTAGGAATTCAGCTAAATTGCAGCAAAATTTTAGCTAATCTTTTAAAAGTATCATTATTTTGGTGTCTGAATTTTGCTAATTCACTGTAAAGTTGGAACCCAGGAAGCCTATATTGTTTAAAAAGCTCATTTTGAGATTTTTTTTTTCACAAAATAAACTCTAAAATACCATAAAACTCATATACCCACATGTATTTTGTTTTTGAATTCTAGAGCATGTTGGGGATTACTTTTTATTTCAATGGGATCCAAACATCAATTGGATGTTTCTTGCAAACATCCAAGAAATGTTTGCAGTAAAAAGTTGCCAAGCACAATAAGATGACCTTATTCAATTTTTTAAATGTAATTTATTTTTTCACTTCTCTAATGTTTTAGTTATTGTATGACTCTGCACAACACAACAATCTAAAGGAAAAATCTAACTTTCTATTTGTAGAGCTGACTCGTTGACCTCTACTTTGAATTTAAGACACTTTTCTTTCAGAACCAGCTCAACAACTTCAGGAAATCACACAGCAGTCCTGCCTAACCTATCAATGAGTGTGGAATGTGTATCAGCAAGGGAAAAAACCACATTACGTTTGTTAAACCTGATTTTCAACTCGGGCGTGTCAAAATGCCAAACTGGTACTCTCATAGAACAATTTCTACTTTGGCTGTTTATTATTGACACAATATGTACCTTTTATGTTACATAAATAGCATGACACACAGCAGTTTTCCTTTTCATGCACAAAATTATATATAACATGAAAGATAAGCATCTGTTTCTGGGATTGCAAAACATTCAACATTTGCAAAACAGCCAGATGAACTGATAAACCTCAGACATTTCTTGGTAGAAAAACGGTGTTGGCTCAAACATAAGCAACGCCCTACAACGCAAGAAATTATTTGAGATACCGAGGCAGGATAAGATGCAGAGCAGAAATCATTTAATTTTCTCTTTTCTCAGTAGCAAGGGACACTTAACAAGTTGTATGTCAAATACCCATGTTTAAAAGTAATAGAAAAGTTGTTCAGGCCACAATTAACTGATGGATTTAACATTTGATGCTTTGATGCTTTTCTTTTGCTTTGGGCAACAGCCTGCAGTATAAGGTCACTAACGGTAAATTGGAATGGCTTCTTCTGGTTATTTTTGACATTATTTAGACATTGACTAAAACATTACTTATTGATAATAAAAAATACACAAGATCAAAGTTTTATGTTTTATTTTTTTGCTGGAGTTCTTTGCACACAAATTTAACATTGGTTTCAAATGAAATTAGTTACAAATGAAACAGCTCTGGAGAATCTGCTTTGTGTGCTTTTCAGCAAAACCCTTTCTTGTACAAAACAAGAGCAGCAGCTTGTTGGTTATTTTAGAAGACAAGAATCTTGTTACCGAGTTGCCTGGTGCTCCACAGCAGAAGTTAAAGAGCAATAGCTTTATTATTCCATATTAACTTACGCTTATTTACAATGAAATTGATTAGCCCTTCGTCACAAGATTTACAAACAAGCAGGAGGTTGTGACCTTTCCCTATTGAACTTTTCTTTTTCTAACAGGTTTCCATTGGTATTTTCTCCAAAGAACACAAAACACAATTTTACCTTATTTCAGAAACACAAAAACAGTGAACAATAGCTGCAGAAGTATTTACAGCAAACTTTTAGATATTTGAGTGGTATTTTAAGCGATAGACCAACACAAAGTGTCACATATTTGTGAAACCACACTGCAGTTAAAGCTGTCTCTTTAACAGCTTTGCACAGACTAAAATGTTTTTTTGTTCTTCTTCACCAGACCGCTCAGTCTCAAACACATGGGACACGGAGCCGTCTGTGAACATCAATTTTCAAATCTCATACATTCTCACTTGGATTTAGGCCTGGACTTTGACTGGTCCATTCCAACACAAACATACTTTGAAAGGACATTTCTCCCTCTGGCTGTAGTCACTGACTCCCTGTTCAATGCAATGCACCCTTTTCTGAGAAGAACGTTGCATTCATGTACCATCGCATAAAATCTGCAACTAAAAGTTTAAATGTTTTATTGCCATGTGTGACCTGAAAAATAGAAAGTTTACCTGTCTTTAAGATTAACTTTTCACATTATATCTCACTTTCCAGGCAGTTCAGTCTAGTTTTTGAAACTTGTAACTAATCTCCATCTTGCATCTGTCCTTCCTCATACCTGCTCTCTCTTTACATCCTGTAGATAAAACTTCTAGTTCCCTCTGTGTTTGTTATGATCTGTAAAGTGAGTTGGTTTCGTGCAGTTTTGCATGCTTTCACTGCTGTGCCATGACGTAGTCTGAAAGCTTCTGATGCCTAACACACATCAATAAAGCATGTTAAGAGTGTGGTAGAAATCACAAAATGAGGTTTAGAAACAACAGCAACAACATTTTGCCTCCACTTTTGCAGTATTTATATTGTTGAACGGGAGAACAAAAAGGCTCAATATTGTTTGTTTTGCGTTTAACCCTGCAGATTTGCAACAACTTAGCCAGTCTTTGAAAGTAATTTGAGCCTGAGAGGGTTAATTAACTGTCAGAGATGTAACCATAACGTTCTGCACATGATCCGTGGAGGTGGTCAGAAATCTCAAAGCTGGATCTGATTTCACTAAACTCAGTGATGGGGCTCAAGTAGCTCTTGTTTGCAATGCACACCAGTTGCTGATGGGCGGGTGTTTGGCAGAGCGGGACAGCAGACTGAGGCCGGTAGCCTGTTAGGATTGGGACACAGGAAGGGGCAAGAGACGACTGAGGAGCAGGCGAGCATGTTGTGTTTGTATTCTCAGGATCCCTCAGGTTTGAACTTTCATGCCGCAAAGGTTTGACTGTCAAGACTTCAACGTCACAGCTGATGCACTCTTCCTGCCTTTGAGACAGCAACTTCTGACCAGTCTAAACCAGAATGCAGAACAAAAAAATATATATAAAAAACATGCCTTCTAGAGAAACCTGGAGTCATTTTTGTGATTATCTTTATCAGAAGAGGGTGCCGAATTTGGTGTGAAAAAAAGACGCAGCGGCGTACTTTTTCAAAGCAAAGATAAAAAAAACTGAATCATTAAAAAGGTCAAACATTTCCCAGCAAAAACATTCTTAAGAATTTACAACAGAAACTGTTGTAAACTCAGGAATGGATACAAATCTAACATTTAATGTTATAGTTTTAGGGTTTTCCACTTAGAAGTCACAGAAATTGAGAGGAAGGGATTTATTTTTCACAAATAGTCAATTAGTTCATTAGGAATGTTTCAGTAGTTCAGACAATCTGACCAACATTGAGGTATTTGGACACAATAGTAGTGACTTGAGGTCAAGACAAGAGTTTTTAAACATAACACTGTACCATCTGTCAAGTACGGTGGTGGTAGCAGCATGCTGTGGGGATATTTTAGTGATTGGAATTTTCTAAATATATTTAAACTTTTCAAATCAACAAAAAGATGGCTGAATTTTCATCCAATTGCATATTCCGACAGGACCGTTATCCCAAACACAGAGTTGGTGGATTTGAAATTGATAAAGATCAACAGTAAGAAGCATTTCAAGATTCTTCACCTCAACTCAACAGAAATCTGTGGACTACACTGAAAATGTGGATTTATACCAAGTGTTACCAAGAACATTGGTCAGACATTCAGCCAAAATTATACCAAAAAAATGTTGATGGATCCAAAACATTTGCAGATGGTGTGTAGCTTTCTATGAGATACTGTATCTGAACTGGAGAAGCTTAAAAAAAAGAATAAATAAATTTAAACTTGTCCACCCAGTTCTTATTTTAAAAAAACCTCTAAAGTTGCATGACTGAATGTAGTTATAGCAAACAAAATTAAAACTAAACTTCCTTTGAGATTAATGAAAAGTCATACCTCAAACAAGAAGCTCTCAAACTCAGGAGTTTTGATATTCATACCAGCAGGATAAGTAAATATCTCCCTCAGTCCATTTTTTACCCTGGGGGCAACACACAAAATCCCAGAGGTCTGAAAAAATTGAATATAAACATACTGGAGTAAATCTAAAAACTCCCATCTCTCACATTTTCCTTTTTGGCCACAGCAGAACGGTGCAGCCCAGCAGGAGCAGGATGGGTGTCAAGATCTTTGCTAAGTGGGAAAAATCTGCAGAGAGAATCAGAGAAATATCAGAATTCAGTGAGCTGGGAGAATCAGACTTTCAAGCTCAATTTATTGATTTTGGTAATTGTCAAAGTTTTGTGAAAGTCTTGGATCGAATGAAGCTCACAGTTAACTTTGGTCCTGATGGTAATGCTGGCAGGGAATCCAGGCCCAACTGTAGTCAGAGCACTCACAGAGCAGACGTATTCCTGGTCCTGCTGCAGACCCTCAATGGTTACTGACTTTTGCCGGGGATCATCCACAGAAACATTGAATGAAACTAGGTAGACACAAAGTTTGTTTATCTGACATTATGCCCACTAATCAAATTATATTATAGACATTGATGTTTACAGCAGTCCTGGTGTAATTTAAAGTTTTCTTCTGAACTCACTTGCGGCATGACCTAAATGAGCATGAGTCTTTACTTCCTGCACTGCTATCAGGTAACCAGTGATGAATGCCGGCTGAGCTGGATCCTCTTCATCAAAGTGCCACTCCAGTGTCACAGATGCATATGTCCTTTTAATAGGTACAATTGTTCTAGGGGGATGCACAGAGTCTGCGGAAATGGAAATGATGTCATGGAAAAAGATCAGAGTTGATAAGAATCACCAGAATAAACAGGAAGCATGATTATGCTCAGTTATGAGACTAGTTTTTGTTACAAATATTTGTACATGAATTTGAAGGTGGTTTTAATTGCTAATTTAATCAAGTAAAAATGTCATGATTTTGTGAAAAGAAGATCTTCTTGGGTGTTTTCCAGAGACCCAATAGACCTGATACACACCACAAAACATACAGACCAAAATAAATATTTTTGGGGAAAATTAATCAAATTCTTCTATATATGCCGTGTTTTAAATCTACCTTCTGCAAATTTTCATGGAGCCGATTGCGGTACTACAAGCAATGCCTTCAGTCCTTTTAAAGTCAGCAAATGTTACCAGTTTGCACATATATATTTATATACAGCAGGTGCAGGAAGTGATGCAAGACATGGACAAACACATTTCCTTTCATAGCATCAAGTTCACAAAAACTGAACTCGGCAGGTGATGCATCATCTGATGGAGCTTTCAATATCCTTAAAGTTTAAATCTTAATTCAAATACTTGATTAGAAAACTGATTAGCAAATGATTAAGCAAATTGAAGCTGCTTCATTAAATCTGTGTGTAGCAAAGAGCACTGGTCTTAAAGAATCTGAAGAAATTTGTTCTGGCAATAATGTTTATAAAAATATGCTAATATGGACAGTTTATTACATGATTTAAACATTTAACATTTAAATGTGAGAAAGACTTTTGCTCAGAAGGTTTAGTTGAGGAGCAGGCCTTTTTATAAGAATTAGACAGCATTTTAATGTTAATGCTAAAATGTTTTATTGAACACTTGTAATAAACTAATCCTGACTCCATTTTTTCATTTCCTCTGAAATAAGATGTATTTTCATGAAACAGAAAAAAATCTAAAATATGTTTTAAGGAAATATTTTTCTCAGTAAAAAGGCTTACTGCGCTCCTGAATGTATCCAGTCTGGGTCTCTAGCAGTTTGTCTCCATAGTCTGTGCATCCATAAATATTGAATGAATATTTCTGACCTGGTTTGAAATATCCTGCAAAACAAACCCACATAAATTACAATAAGTGTCCAAGTTAATGCAAAAAATACCAATGAAGAGAAAAACTTACCTGCAGGTAAGAAAGTGTTGTTTCCTTCAGGCACTTTCCTCCACTGCAGCTTGCAGGTTGCTTTGCTTCCCAAGATGCACCACTCCACAGTGTGACCGCAGGTGACCAAAGTTTGCTCATCCCACCACAGATGGAAACCATCAGCTGTTGTGCTCAGGCGCTTCTTCACTGGAGGGATTTCTGGACAGCCAAAAATTTACAATAATTTATCATTTAAACGTTTCAGCTTTTCAACTTAATACATCATCCTGTGGGGAAAAAATAATCAACACAAAGGAGTGCATATAAACTATTTATTTCACAATTTAGTTAATCAAAATAGCTTCAATGCACACCCCATGTAACAAGAACAAAAGCCTGCAGGACCATTTATTTTAAAAAAAATAATTGTAGTCATATTTACACTACGAAAAATTGTAAAAAAAAAATATATATATATATATATGCAAACGTCACCTGCGTCGTCCTTTGGTGGGACGATGATGTGGGCTGAGATGAATGACCCTATGCTAAGAACAGCTTGAACAGTAAAATTACACCTGCTGGGACCAATCGGGATGTCTGCCTGACTCTGGCCGCTGTCCTTCAGCTCTGTCACAGTTTGACCTTCCTGTGACCACTGGACTGCATAACTTTGGATCTTCACTGAGGATGCTGTACCAAAAGCAGGCTGGAGATACAATGGATCAGTTTAAAACTGTTCAGAAGACAAAGTTAGACTGATATGATGTTGCTCTTCTTTGTATTAAAATAATTAAAATAAACATACAGGCTTCCATAGCAGAGTGACATCACGAATGCCTGAAGGTCTGTACTTTATTCTCCTCCATAAGTCCAAGGTTACCACTGAGGAGCGTTGTTTGTTCAACGCAACAAAAGTGGGGTATCATTTGTTAGAAAAAATTGTTTTAAAGTAAATTTCAGTTCAACTTTTTATTTCTCAAAACAGAAAGTGTTTAAAGGAAATATACAATACTGTGTAAATAGTTAAATTGTGACAAAAGAGTTTGTTCTGGGTCAGGTTCCCTTCTACGGTCCAGATCAAGCTGACGTGTGTCACCCCAGGGATCAGTGTGATCCCTGGGGTGACACTGATCCCTGGGGTGACAAGATAACGCTGTTTGTTTAAATGATATACAACCTCTGTCAGAGATATTGAAGCTATAGGTCGCCGTCTCCTCTCCCAGCTGGTCCTTCACCTCCAGACGGATGTTGTATTCCTGCTGCTGTGGCACAGCTGGGAAAGTACAAGATGGTGGCTGACAGTGGATCTTAGCCTGGCCTGTGTTCCTGGTTATTGAGATCACATAAAAATAAAGATACCTTAAATATGAACAATTTGCATAGTCACATTGGCATCAATGCTTCAGCATTTCTAAATGTTTTACATTATATTGGTTTTACATTTCTAAAAGTGTGAATACCCAATAAAATGTAAAATGTGTGTCCTGTAACGTCAAGACTCAAGCCTTTAGTCATCCCTGATAGTTTACAGATTTTCTGAAAAAAAGTCAGACTAACTTCTAATCTTTTAAATGTCTCATGAGCCAAACTAATGTCAAACATACATTTTCAGTCTTTATTGGTAAAGGCTGAATATTTAAGGGCACCATAAAAAAACAGCCACAGTCATATTTACACAAATATGACTGTTGTGCAATCATGCTTACTCAAAGAAGAGTGTGTGTGTCTGGTTGTTGGTGTCAGACTGGTCTCGTTTCCTCCCGGGGTCCCACATGCAGGTAATGCTCTTCATGTCTGAGCTTATGCAGTTCAGGTTTCTGGGCTTTTGAGGAGGGACTACATTAAACAAACACAGTTCTTAAAGCGTTAGGATTTATAAACAACTTTTTTTTTCCAAATATCTGTAGATCTTTATCATGGGCTGCATGGTGGAAACATGGTTAGCAATGTTGCTTTGGAGCAAGACGTTCTTAAGTTTAAAGCCATTCAGAAAGGAATAAATAACATCATTCTGATGCTGATTAGTCATTTTTACCAACAAACTATATTCCCTATTTATTCCTCCAAGGACTAAGTGGATATTGACGATGAACAGACAGGTTTATGTGATAAACTTACAGCTGACAAAGTTCTGAACTAAGCTGCTCTTTCCAGTTGAATCAATGCAGCTGAAAAACAGTCTTTTGATGTGGATGGTTGGAATTGTCAGATTGGTCACTAAAATAGCCTTAACCCCATCTCCAATGTCCAAAAGTGGGTAGGAGTCCTTCCTGAAGGTGATACACCTGACGTTTATATCCACTGGGGGAACACAGCAGAGCATGGGAGAGCTTCCCTCTTTCAGTAACCGTTCGGAAGGAAATATCAGTGCTGTATCTGCTGCTCTGGCTCCTAAAACACAGACAAGCAGTTTAATGCACCTCTATATGTATATTGAAACAAATAAAAAAAACATTACAGCTATGAAACATAACAGGAATGAAGAAAAGTTAAATGACTTCCATTTGTTGTAAAAGAAATGAGCAACCTAAAGAGTGAAAGAAAGAAACATGGAGGCTTTTTTGAATTTTGTTTAAATCATAGTCTTTTAGGCTGACTGCCAGTCGACTCACCATGGTTGGTCACCCAGTTGCTCCAAGGACCGGGGGCGGTTTGATGACATAAACTTCGTATCCTGACTGAGTGATCGACACACTCAAGTGGCAAATCAGAGATCCATGTGAAAGTGGACCAACCTGAGTCCCCGGTAGATATGCTCACATTACTCTGGGTTAAAAAAAGAAAACATTAACAGTTTGGAGTTTATCAAAAAAAAGATCAATATAAATACTAAAATCTGATCAGTATAGTAAAAATTCTTGAAGAAATAACGCAAAGTGCCCCATAGTTTAAAAACACTCTTGTTCTGTTATATATCCCATTTGGATTTTATGTCATAGTCGACAAAAAGCAGCTCATAGTCAAATTTAGTGGGGTTTGTGAGCATCAAATTGAAAGTTTTGACACTTTTTTCAAGTTGGATTCATGTCTGGATTTTGACTGGGCCAAACATGTCTTGATCTGAACTACTGCACTGATATTTAGAGATACTGTAATGTCGAAAGGTGAACTTTTTCCATGACTGCCGGTTAAATAGCTCCATCCATCAACTGCGATGACACTGACTCCAGTGTTCCTTCGTCTTACATTACGTACAGGTGAACTCTACTTACATGATCAGGTCATCTGAAGTTAGCCAGGAACATCTAAACAATTTCAGTGCTACTTCACTCAGTTACCTCTGTTTTTTTTTTACTTTATTGTGTTTTGCACATTTTTGGTCCATATTCTGTCTTTCTTTTTTAAATAAAGCTACTATCAAGATTGTTCAACTCTTAGCAAAAGAACCAACTTTTACTTTCAGGTAGGAATCAAGTGATTACTTTACAACAGAGAGACAGTTTCTGCCCAAAGAAATAAAAAAAACATGAAAGCCTCAAACACAAAACAAAAATGCTCAAGTTAAATTTGCTGCTGTACCAATCACAATTCTCTCAAAGAAGAGAGTTTTACAGACAAGGATTTTACCAAAAGGAGATTTGTGGTTTCTTTGTATACTAAGAAGAAGTTAGTAAAGTGTTATTTGAAACTATGTCACCAAATTTGAGGCAATACTCCTCTTGTAACATACTCACATTATAGATAATGGTGTGACTTTTTGTGCGGCTGATTTGGATCTCATAAACGTCGTTCTCTGATGCTCCCTTGTTCCTTGGCCAGCTCACTACAAGGCTCTGATTGTCACTAAAATTATGAATGTTTGGTTTTGGTGGTAGAGAACCTGGTCCAACATAAAAAAAAAACACAACTCTTGAAAATTCAGCAGGAAAAACATAAATACATTCATTATAGGGAATCCAGAAAACCCAACTTACCAAAGTCCCCACAGCCCTCAGTATGAGGATGAGAAAATATAAGATACAAGCCAAGGAGGTGAGCGCAGAACAGTTCAGTGTTTCCCATCCTCATGACTAAAACAACAAAGTGGGACTCTGGCCGCCTACTGCAAACACTAACGGGAAGTCTCTTGAGTCAAAGTCAAATGGGAGTTTGCCTGCAGTGAGTCGAGGCGTGTTGCGAAATGTTGCACAAGAACTCATGAAAGATGCGTAGCTATTGAACGGATGCTTGAAATAAGGTGAAAGACACTGAAATAGATGTTTACCAAGATAGTTTTATATACACAGTGTTACGTTACATACAGCTCTGGTCAGAAGCTTTCATACAGACAACCTTGGCATGAATGTCATATTAATCTTATTGACATACTAATTAATTTGAACATGTTTTTTTTTTAAATATGACATGACTGTATAAGAATACACTTAATTGACTTTAAAAACAGTAACCTGGTGGAAAGATCTTAGTTTGAACAGTTTTCTTGATAGAACTGGTTAAATGATTGGTTTCTTGCACAGACCTGGCCTTTTAAAATATGCCAAACATTTTTAACAGGATTAAGGTCATGACTTTGGCTGGGCCACGCCAATAGCTTTGTTTTATCCTGCTATAAGCTTCTACACCTGTCTTCATATGTTTTGAGTAACTGATTAATCGGAATACTCACCCATGTCCAAGAATGAAATATGTGACCCAAAAAGTCACAACTAAAAGAAAAAAATAGCAGGAACATCAAAATCATCATATTTATGAAGGTATTTATGAACTGGAAAATACAGAAAATTGTACCACTGTCAACAGTGAAGAAAGTCTTAACATAAATATGAACAGAAAAAGAAGCTTCCTGTTATAGAAAAATACTGTTGCCCACATGGACAAACCAAAACCATTTCTATGACCAGAGCAAACAAAAACTACGCTAGTTTTACACAATGACAGGAACTTTCTTTGTATGAGTGAAGGTGAGGTTTGTGAACAAGTAAACATTGTGACAACTAATGGGCATGGTGGTGATAGCTTCGCTGCTAATTGTGCTAGTTATTACCTGTACATAATTCAACTTCACCTCAATTCATCAATGTGAATCAATCTGAACACAGCAGAACAGTTATTCTGTTTATATGTATAATAATTAGTTTAGGAATAGAGCATATTAACTAAGCTTCCCAACTAATAGACCATACTAAAGTGTTCACCAGTTAACCTGAACTAATTTCACTATAGAGGTGTGATTACATATCCAGCCAGAAAGAATTATTTTCAGGTTCTCTTGGTGTTTTTTGTTTGTACCTGGATGTTGTGGGTTTTATTTTTTTTCCAATTTCTGAGGATTTCTTATGCACATAAGATGCAGTTAAAGTTGTGCAAAAAAGAAAGTTGAGTATCTCAGTAAACCAGCCACAAACATAGTTCTGATAATGTCTACGTGTAAACATTTCCCTTTGAGACAATCTGAGAGAAACACATGAACTTGCATTTGTCAAAGTAGTGACAAATCTCTATGGATTTTCCATTTACAACTAGAACTTGATCAAATTGAACTGAATTTGTACAGCACTTTTCTGCTCATACCGACTATTACTTTACACTAAGGCCTCATTAACCCAATCTCACTCACACACACACCCACACACACACACATGCACATTCCCACATAGTAGGTGTGTGTGCTTGACGTTAAGTGCCACAGTGAGGTGAAATGTCATTTGCAAATCAAATTGATAATAAGAACATATTTGACCCCTTTTGTGTAAAAACTCTAAATTGTTCAATTGTAATAGTTTTGTAAAAAAATATTGTTATGTACAACAGTTCCACATTGCAAAATTAGCAGTTAATATTAAAGTGGCATTCATGCCGCAGATGAGGGTGTGTAAACTTCTAACCCCACAGAATACACAGTGAGACATTTAAAAACAAAACATTATTAATGTTGGGAGTGTGTGAAGCGATCTATGTCAAATAAATTAAAAGAAAACAATTATCTTTACATCAATTACAGCATCAGCAATGTTTTTGGCACTTCAGAGAGATTAAAAAATTAGGAATATATGATCATTTTTCAACACAATGTGCATAGGTAGCCTATTCATAAGAATAAACATTAAATATATATGTATATATGTACATTAAAAAATGTCAGCATATTTGTATCCTTTGCAGATGCTTACGACAACTTATGTTTTAAATGTACAACTTAAACAAAAACAGCACAGCAGAACTGCCAAACAGAATATTACATAGTCTGGGGAAGAGCTTCATTGAGTTTACCACAATAGTTTACTTTAAGCGCTTTTGGAGAAATGCACCAATTCTTCTGATTAAACTGTTCGAGTTGAATGTACCTCTATCTTCAAATTAGTGCAACAAATAATAAACTAGAATGTAAGAAAAAAAATAAACAGAATTTTCTCTTTTTTTTTCAAAATTAAAAAGGCACAATTGTTTGATCACCAATGAGGCACACCGAATTACATAAAGGCACATAGTCAGAATGCGTAAATATTCAGATTTTTAAATGGACTTGAGTCCATTTTAAATAGATATTTTACAATGAAGACACAGATAGATTATCCTTTTCGTTCAGTTGCTGATCTGGCAGCTTGCTTTGCTGCTTCCGGGATTCTCAGAGGTAAACGATGTTTTCCTCGACTCCCTCCTCTCCGTTCTGTCCTTCAAGGGAGAGATAAGCTTGGGGAGGGAGCAGCGGGGTAAGAGAGGGAGAGGAGGAGTTGTGCTCCTTAATGGGTCCGTGACCTGTGACCCCTGGCCTCCAGGAACCTGAAGTTTGTGTTTCCTCCAGCTGGGTGAAATCTGCTGCAAGGAGAAAAACGAGTCAACAATTCTGGGATCTGAATGAAGAGGAGATGAATCAAGTTCATGTTTTAAAAGCAGAAATGTGTCCTACTGTCGCTGCATCTCTGCTGCTGTGAAGGCACTCGGCTGCTGAGGGAGTGGAGGCAATCAGCGGACGGTCGGGAGCAGCTGTGGTTGTTGCTGTACAGAGGCTGCTTGCCGTGCGTTTGGCTCAGCAGCGTGTTGAGGCTGTTGTAGAGGCTGGCGCTAACGCTGCAGTCAGCTGAGCTGAGCGGCGGCCCATCCGGATTATTCTTCTTCTGCGTGGAGAGGGTCTGCTGGTGGTTGTGGACGGGGGGCTGGTGGAGGTGGTTCTGTCGCAGGGAGCTGAACAAACTCGACTCGTTCTTGAACAGTGAGTAGTTTCCGTCAAAGCTGCCTGTGCGGCTGTGTGTGGCAACCTGGAGAGGTAACATGAAAAACATACATTTTTTTATTCCATGACCATTGATTTTCCTGCTCATTTCTACAGCAGACATCAGCAGCTTTCCCTGATTAAAATTTTATTTTATGTTCTTGAAATGCAAAATATATTATATGGTAATCATAAAATAGAAATGTTTTCTTTTTCTTGTTATTGCAAACTATTTGATTCTGGAGAAATATTTTGATAATCTTAACATTTCAAAAAGTTATTTTCAAAAGATATAATCTGGAAATGTGGGTTACCTTCAATAGATATCTTCAGCACTACATTTAACAATAGTTTCAAACACAAAGCTGCTTAACAAGACTGCAATAAAGTTTCCTCATATCCTAAGTGATCGTGATTTCTATTAGTACATGTAGTAAAATTGTAATAAAATTGATACACAATTATAGAGTTCATCGCAGTAACAGTGAACAATGAACCATAAACAATTATGTATGAATTATGTAGATTAAAGATAGCACATAAATATAATACATATATATAAAAGATTATATATGTGTAGATGTATCAACCTAAAGCTCTGAATGGGAAAACAAGGAATATCTGGTTCAAAACATGAAAATAGTGAGGAATTAACTTGAATAAAAGACAAAAAAGGGAAATTAAATCAGAGCTAAAAAATAATAATTGCCCAAGATCTCGTTTTCACTCAAGAAAACCACATGAAAAATGTTTACAGTGCAAACAGCAATTTTTTTTGTGCTTCAACATTTAACATTTTCTGCCTTGATGTTTTTCCTCCTCCTCCTCTCTCTGATCTGCTTGCCTTGTATCCATCTAGTGGTATTGTGACGGGCAGGCTGCTCTGGCGGCTATGTCTCCAGCTCTGCAGCAGCCTCTGCTGGGCTTCGATCCTCTCCTTCTCCCTCTCCACACTCCTCTGGCCCTCCCTCAGCCTGTCCAGGTTTTGCTGATACTCCTGCAGCTGAGCGTCGAGCTCCTCTCGCTCGCAGCGGAGCCGCTCGGACTCAGACAGACACTGCTGCTCTCGCTGCTCCAACACGTTCTCCTGCTCAGTCTGTAAGCAAACAGGCAAATATATGTTTACCTATGCTTCAGTACGTTCTGTCTTTTTAACTTCAGGAATTATAATAGTATTTATGTCCTATTTTAACTGCTGTGAATGAATCTTACCTGTTGTTTCTCTCTGGCCACACACTCTTTTTCCCAGCGCTGCTGCTCTTGTTTCAGTTTAGCTTGGAGCTTCTGCACCTCGTCCACATCTTCTTTCTTCCTCTCCAAACTCTTCTTCTCCTCTTTCATCTTGTCAGAGCTCCTCTGCTTCTCCTGTTCCTGGAGGGATAAAAAGCAAATCAGCATCTTAATGCTATTTTCAACCTCATGCCACAAGTCATTGACTGGTCGGAACGTTGCATTACTTCAGCCAGTAATAGCAGCTCAGGTAAAGAAGTGGAGGAAATTTATTGTTTTCACAGATTATTCGTCTCAATAACAAACTGTCATGACATGGTGCCAGCTTTAACAAATATAGAGAAAACATTTTATTAAAGTTATCTACTGCAGCTTGAATAAAATGCAACTACATAGCATTTTCTTGGAGAAAAAATGCTATGTGTACATGTATTTTGCATGTTGCCTTTGTGGGGAGAGACATTTTAGTAAGCTAAAACTAATAGAAAAAATTTAAGGAAGCTTCTTGCAGACTGTTGGATGTAAAATTCATGAGCAGTAAATATTGTGCTAGTTATCAGACTTGCACCAAAGAAAGCAAGGCAGTTGCAAGCCTTTAAAATTGTGATGCTTTTGATGGGTCAGATAGACTCAAAATGGGAGGGCCCAATTAAATTTTCCTTTCAGCGCCCCTGATTACAGATAAATATTTAAATGAACAAACCAAGTTGGTCTGGAGGGAGGTGATGCTGCGAAGCTGAGGTCTTTCTCCCTCGTGAAGAAGAAGTTTCTGGACTTCATAGAAGCTGTCCTGGAGGGTCACAGCTGCCTGAAAACACGAGACTCTGAATCAAACTGTAACATGACCACCATGTTCTGAATGTCATCAGAGTTTTTCCTCACCGGAATACAAACTAGTGAAAAAAGTAAACTAGTAAAATATATATTGCCACAATTTCCTGACCAACTACTATAATGAACATAAAAAAAAAAAATTCTAAGAGTTATATTTTAAGGAATTAGGGTAGCTTACAATAAAGATTAATAATGCATTCATTCCCTTCTTCTGTATATTACCATAATTTTCTTAAGGTTCATTTCATGTCATTTTTATTTATTTCATTCACTCAACAATAAATATAAATAGTTAATGTAGCAACTGAAAGTAATCATGAATAAGAAATAGCAGAAAGAAGTATAAACTTATAAATGTCCCCTATTAACATAAAAAGAAAATTATTTTACAGACATATTTCAAAAACAGAAAAAATGCACACAAAAAATAGGCAAATCAAAACATCAGTTTTATCAGTTGATCATAATGATTTAAATTTTTTTTTTACCTGCAGACTGTAGAGAAGCTGAGTCAGGCTCTGGACACTCTCTGCCACCTAAACACAGTGCATTAATATAAAATAATAACTTCTATTTGTTAATGTGTGAAAACGACTGATAGAAAGGAGATCAAACCTTTAAAAGTGTTCCTTTTGCGTCTCCTTTCCTTAGCTCAACAGCTGAGCTCCACGATGCGCTCTCCATGCCCGCTAACTCGCTGTCAGACCCCAGAGAGTTGGAGCTGATACTGAGCGTGCTCAGATAATCCGCTGCATGCATATAAAAATCAGAATCAAGATTTCTGTAATTAAAAAATATATATATTAAATGCTGAACTGTAGGGTTATCCAGTGACTCACGTTCAGAGGGAGACTCCTGAATGCTGCTGCCGTGGCTGTTGTAGCTGCAGCACTCTGGGGCCTGGAGAGGAGAGTTCTGACTCGGGACGCCATCACGGGTCTGGAGAATGTTGATCAGGTTCTCAGCTGGAAAACAAACTTTAGTCAATTTTGATGATTGCAGAAAAATGTGCACTTCTCATGGATATTTTAATCACCCACATAAACAGAGCTTGTGCTCTTCCTAACAATTAAAGTGAGAGCTTGTTTTTGTTTTTATGTGTGTGTCTCTCCTGAGCCACAAAGTGTAGTATCTACCGTAGTTGTGTTTGAGCTCAGATTAATGGGAAAATATTTTTTTCTTTTTTTTTAAATAAATAAGCTAATTAAAAAATAATTGATTAAAAAAAATAAAGAAATAGTTAAAACAGCTATTGGCTGTTCTTTACTGTTTTTCTTTCATAACCTATAAGTCAAATTGTGAGAAAAACAGGAAAAGACACAAAACAGTGATTTAAAATATTAATTTTCCAGGATGTGACATTTAAATGACATTTCACTAATACACAGAAATTATGACAACAAAGTCAAGGAAGATCATTTTGGAAGATTAAACCGACATGATGAAAATTGTGAATCTTTTTTAAAAACAGCAAAAGGAAAAATGATATGGTCTTATGGTGGAAACCACAGCTTTTGGAATGATGGTTTTAGAAAAACCTTTTTGAGGAATTTCTCAATTTGATGCCCAGTTTCAAACTGGGATCAAAGTGTTTTCAATTCAAATCATATTGTTTGAATTTGTGACTCAGCTTAAACTCAAATTCTGCTACTTATTGGCCCACTGTATGTGATTTTGGTTGCTTCAACCCACAGCAAGCAGTTCAACCACAAATTGAGCAGCTAGTTTACAAAAAAACACACATTTTTGAGTGCAAAGCAGGAAACTGTTTTACAGACAGCACAAAAAAGTTGAAATAGAGAAAAATAAATCTGAGCATAATCTCTTGTTTCCATCACTGCACAACTATAAATTATGATCGTATATAGCCTTTATTTCTAAGAAAATAAACCTTGAAAACATTGCATCATGGAAATCTTGACACATTCAGAAATCTGTAACTTTAAAAATATGTTGTGCAGCTGAGTTAACCTTCTCTCAGTGCAGCTGTGAGCAGCGATGATGCTTGACGCGGCGCCTCAATGTCGAGGTACTGTGCAGGTCCCACCAGCAGATGGCGATGTGGGACAGATTCTGGTGACCGGAGAGTTAAGTCCGTGAGCTCAGCGTACAGCTGCAACTTTTCCTCCAAACTGTGGCAGATCTGCTGGTCCTGACCAAGCAACGTTTCTGCACAAACATAGAGAACAGAACTTGCTGTTTATGATTTTTTTAAAGAAATATTTAAAATATATAGATGCATTTTTAACTTTGTTTTATTTTACCCTGGAACTTGCTAATCTTTTGAACTCTGACTTCTGCAGCTTGTCTGGCTTCCTCTGTCTCTGCAGTTCGCTCCTCCTCCTCTTCTTCCTCTGGACAACTGCCATGTAGATTAGCAGGTTGTGAGTAACCCAAGCTTTATCACCCATTAACTTGACACACACACAGACTTTAACTCAAACACCCTGCTGACGCGCACACGCATACACACCTCTCTACAGCCTGTCGGATGTGTCTCATCCAGGCATTCCTCTCCTCTTTTGTGGTGGTGTGAACTTCATACATCTCTGGCCCCACAGAGGATGCAGAGATAAGGAACATTCCTCGCTCCTCATTAGCTACCTCTCTAACAATGAGCTTCTGCAGAGGAATAACTGGAGGCTTCTGGTCCTGAGGGAGAGCCCAGAGAGGCAGGGTTACAAGATGGAAAACTTGAGTATAGGTGTATCCGATTTCAAAGCATTGTTTGGGTTGATGCCCTTACCACAGATGCAAATATGAAGCGCTGGTCTTTCTCTTGCAGAAAAACCAAGACATCCGTGAGCAAAAGAGCTAACGTGTCTGGGAACCAAATAGATAGATTCATATGAGCGATTTAGAAAGTAGTAAAAAAAATCTAATTTGGCAGCAGAGATGATGCTCTTCACACCTTTCAGACGCCCTGTGGCAGTCTTCCAGTAGAGCAGTCCTTTGTGCTGCAGAGCTCTGTGCTTGCTGTGCAGGTCCTGTTTGCGAAACACCTTGCTGTTCTTGAGCTTGGCGAAGCTCTTGGTTTCCAGCCTGGCGAGGACTTCCTGCAGCTCTTGAGATCGCTCATACTTACCGACCATCACATCCACGGCTGTGATGATGTCACGGATCTGAGCCAGGGCATCTGACAAGTTGGAGTATTCCTGGCTTCCGTCTGGGGGAGGAAGCAGCGGCAGCAAAATTAATAAATATGTCATAATGCAATGCAGCTTCGCTGTGATGCGGTGAAATAAGTCCTGATCAAATTACTAAAACAAGAATGCCTTCTGTGATCTATATAAATCCAACTGTTCTGTTAAGGCCTCAGAGGTTTGTTAGAGAGCATTAGTGAATAAATAGCATCAGAAAAAACCGAGAAACACAGCAAATGTAATGTTGTAGAGCAGGATCATGTAGAGCTAGGCTAGAAATATCCCAAGGTTTGAATATCTTACTGTCTTTTAAATATGGAAATAGTATGGTACTGCAAGCCTAACAAGATATGGTTCCACACAATAGTAAATCTGGAGGAGTTACAGAAATCTAAAGCTACAGAGAGGGAGAATCTGCTCACTGGACATAGCTAATTAGTTTCGGACTTCGCAAATCTGGACTTTATGACAGCATGGGAAGACTAAAATCTGATGTGGACAAACACTCTCCATTCAGTGTTAGCACAATGTTTTCTGCAAAGTTAGAACAACAGACCTACCATAAAAGACTTGTGTAATTGCAGTGATAGGTAGTTTAACAATGTTTTTAGTCAAGGAGCCAAAACATATATTTAAGTCACATTCTTCAGAAAAAAAAATAGATTTTTCTGTAAGCATTATTTTGTGTTTGACAATTATATAAAATCCTAAAAAAAATATATAAAAGTTTTGGATTTTAATATGACAAAAGTATGCATCATTTTACAAGGTACTGCATACAAATACAAGATTTAACATGCATGAATTTTAAATCTTTTACAATACATTACCTTGAGTGTACTGCAGTATCTTCTCTAGCAGAACTGGATACTTTGTGATGCGCTGCGTGACCAGCAGAATGAATTCTGGCACTTCTCTTCGTCTGACCAGAGAGTTATTACTCTGTTGCTGTCAGGAGAGAAGGAATGTGAGAGTAAAACATCTTCAGCTAAGCAAAGGCATTTGAAGGTCAGAGGGAAACTTACTCTGACAAAGTTTTGAAACTTTTTGTTCTGCTGCTGGAGCTCTTTGAAGACATTGACAGCCTCCATGTGGTGACTGCAAAACTCTCCGTACACCTGCTTCATCATCTCAGCATTTTCATCAGAGAACTGAAGGAGATGACGATGATGATGATGATGATGATGATGACTAATAACATCGATCTCTGATTATCACAGACTGCCAACCTGCCACCACCAACCTGCTGAAGCAGTACGTCTCCAATTCGATGGATGAGGTAATTTCGGGAGTTGTCCGTTTGTGTTGCAGCCTGGCGGCATTCCTGCAGCGCTCTGAAGAGGTTTCTGTGGAAAAGCAGGAGAGGATCCAAGCAGGGGAAGATCCGGGCCACACAATCCGAGTCGAGCTGCAGCTCTTCCAGCATACCTCTCCTGAACACCTCCGACATGACTGTCAGAGTTTGAATATGGTGAAGCTCCGTCTGCATCAGCTCTACACCGAGAGAGAACACTGAGTCAGTCGTCTAATGGTTTACACACAGATGACTCATTTATTTGGAAAGTTTCCTCATAGTTTTAGCCAACTGTTAATACATAAGTTAATGCAACATTTTGAAGGAGAATGAATAAAACTGTCAGGACAGGTTAAACAGAAGAGCCTTTCTTTGGATGCCGAGGATAAGATGGTGTTCAGTAACTGGGAGGCTGGTTTTAGGCTCTTTCCAAAGGAACATAATTATATAATAGTTTGGTCACAACTATTCAAAAATAGAAACTTTATCTTGTGCTTTTGTATTTGTAGCATTTCTGTGGGAATGCTTGGTCTTTTGAATGACCACATTTCTAGATTTCAATAGATAAGTGACAAAAAATACACATATGAAAATATCCTGACACAAAATGGCAATTAAAATCAAATCACAAACTAAAGGATCATAGCCAACTCAATGGAATTGTATTCAGTTTTCTTCAAGTTAGTATTTCAGATATTTATAACACCAACTTACAATAAAAGTCATCTTAAGCCACTTTATAGGTCAAACAGGTGACATTTATAATTAAAATCCAATTCGGGCCAAATTAATCAACTTTAATCAGCTCAATTCATAATGCAATTCAGTCAGAATCATCCAGTTCCATAAAATCAAATAGATTAGCATTATTCAGGGTAATGACAGTTGGTAAAAAGTGTGAAGAAGCGCAGTCCATTGCATTAGGTCATGGACATTGCAGCAATCGATGACTATATCCAGGAGACCTAATAACACATATGAGAATGTATGACAAAGAAAAAGAAAGACTCCACGCTGAGGACAGTAATTGCTCTGAAAGTGGCAAAGCAAAACACAGAAGCTTCAAGTATTTTCTAGGTCACAGAAAAACAGAACATATAGAGTTTCTAGCAGTAATAGTTTTGCCAATTACTCTGTCCAGGAAAGAGACACAGCTCCAAACAGAAGTACTGAGCCATGATTACTTGATACGAGAGAAAAGAAATCAAAGAAAGTATACAACACTAAAGGCAACAATAGGTCCACGAATGGCCCCAACCAGGAAAGAAAAACAACGAAACACAGAAGTACTTTGCCAAGAATCCAATCTACAAAACAAAACGTTGCAAAGAAACCAGGAGTCATTTTAAATGTTTTTTTTTGTATACTTTGAAAGCCTCCTTGTTTGTGCAGTACAGCTGCACAGCTATGTCCTGCAAGAAACAACCAAAGACAGAAAGACCTCACCATAAATAACATCTTGTCGTTTGATTGTGCGTCTGTCATGTTGTCTACAAAAGTCTGGAGACACAGCAATACTCCACGACTCTGCCTCGAGCCCCAGCAAGTCAGCTGACAGGTCACTCAGCAGAGGAGCATCAACAGTATCTGTATATACAGCATTAAGACAAAGAGTCACTTTTATTTGATGTTTGCCCAAAATCCTGCTGCTCTCTGTCACTCACCCTTTGTGCTGATAGGTAGGTCGGTGAAATGGGGAGTTGTTATGACAGGTATTCCTTCTTCAGGAGGAGAGCTGTTAGTGTAAGCTGCCATGTTGCATTCACTGTCCACCCCTGCTGTTTCACTCCAGCCTCTACAGGGAAACAATGTAAAATAAAAAAATTAAAAATCAGGGCTCGATGTCCTTGTTGCAAACAACAATAACTTCAATAATAGCTTTAGCCACATGAGCATGATGTTGACTGATGAATACTTAATGCAATCATTCAGTGTTTCAGACATTTCCTGAAAAGCTTGTTTGCACTACTTATTCATAGCATTATAGTGCAGTCTAAAAGCATCATCACATTGACAATAGCAATAATATTAAAATAATTGTGTAATTGCTTTGGCATATAATTTACTGCTGCCCTACCTGCTGTCTATAGAGATTGATTGGCTTTTGGAGAAAGAAGCGACTGTTTCCCTTTTCTCTTTGGTCATTGTTGGAGCTGAAGATGATGGGGACGAGCAGGCGGAGGAAGAGAAAAGAGAAGCTGGAGAACTTTCCTTGGCAAAACCTGGAAGATAAACAGGAACCAGACTCAGTGTGGATTTGGCAAGTTATTTGTATCTGGATTTTATATTAAAAGTGTTTTTAAACTGTTGATGTTTTAGTAATACAGTTTCTGTGGTTTCAAGTATTTTAAATGACATGCCAAATTATGACAAGAGTTTTTTCTGCTCCATTGCCTCTGCCACAAGATTTTGCTAAGAACTGCCAGCCAGCTCGCTGAAAGTAAGTCCCCTCCTACATTTAGGTGCAAGAAAGATAAAATTGGCTGGTCATTGTCATTGTTGTCGATCTATTCACATCATGTCCTCATCATCAGATTAGTCACTACCATTGGCATCATCACAAAACTGAACATGTCTCTTTTGTTTACCTCAATTGAATCAAAATTTAAGTCCAGCTCCTTTTTAGTCACAATTTGTCCTGGGGTCCATCTTCTTTGTGCTTCACCTTTTTACGCTTGTTCACACCTTCTGTAAATACGGTGTATTTTTTAACCTCCCAACTCACTTTGCAACTTCTACCAGTTTTTTAAAACTGTAAAGAAACAGAAGTCCTTGTTGGCACAAATGCAGAGTAATGAAACATGGGTGTTATCTAATTAAAATGAACACACCAGTTCTTCCGTCCCCTCAGCTTAAAGAACTAACTGTTATTCTTGACTGAACTCGGGTTCTTTCAGCCACACATTGTCAAGATAATATCTTCAACATATTTCTTTCTGCTCAGCTTTAATAGCCTTCTCTCATCTGTTACTCCAAGCAACACTGTGTTATCACTCGATCTACATATCATGTTTCTTGTCACTGTGTGTTTATCATGAGGGCCAGAGCTTCCAGCCACTTTGCCCTCTGGAATTCTCTTCTTCTGTAACTCCACCAGTAAAAGAGACTGACCTAAAAAAATGATCTGAGCAGAAGCAGACACGCTGCAGAGTTACATCACACGAACCCTCTTGTGCTGTTTTAGGATGATCAAATCATAGTTGTCTTGGTAGTTCCACTGATTACTCACAGATTTCTGATAGTGACCCATAAATAGTCTAATATTTTGTGGGATCATTCCAGTAGAAGCATCTGGTTTTTACTACTGTCCTCCAGAGCTGCTGACAGGAAGTTAGCTCTTTTCCACTTTCATTCTCATGTTAAAACAAAGCTGATGATCATTTGTCTTCAAGATTTTAAAATTATGTTCAGTAGTTTTCAACTTTTCTCTGGTTTTAGGTTGTTATACTTCTGAAAAATAATCTAAAAGGTTGACATAAACAAAATATGTTGCACAGTAAGTTAGTAGTTGTGCTTTAATGTTTTAACTTGAATTTATGCACCACATTGAAAATAGCAAAAGCTATTATTGATTGCAGTACTATAATAGTAACAACTGTGGATTTTCTGTTCTAACTGAAAGAAGCAAGATGATGTTATATATGTTTATTTTAAATATTTTCTGAATTACTCAGGGTTATCATACCAGCCTAGTTTCAAAGACTTGTGAAATACTTGTATATATTCTTTCAAAAGCTTTCAACTTTTGAAGAACTGCAGGACATTAAAATGTATTGGATTTTATTTTCTTAACTGCTAATTACTTGAGATCATAAGCAATCTTAATTTCCCAAAAGTGTAAGAAAAAGGTGAGCACAAAAACACACATAAAGACAATCCAGGCTTCACCCCCAACTGAGGTGGATTGAAGTTTAACTGGGCAGACTGGGGGATGAAGGGAAGAGGTTTACTCAACTGTGAGATGAGGGAGGACAGGTGAAAACTAAATAAATACAAAATAAAGAAGGACTTTTGATCCCGAGTCACTTGGGTGGGGGCGTGGATACTCACTCTGTGGGAGAGACATAGTCTTGCTTTTCATTAGCACTAGATTCCTCTCCTGCAGTTTCTGGGAAACAAAGACAATTATATTAAAACGAGCAAATAAGTAATTTTGTTCATAAAATGCACACGTAGTCAACATTTACATAAAAACAAGGTGACTGTAAGAAAAACACATCTATTTTTTTCAGTGTGTCACCTCTATGTTTGTACAGTTCATGGGGTTAAAGGGTCATTTGTGTTTGTTGAGGCTCAATAGTGTTTAATGTGATAAGTTCCCAACTCTGTTGAGAAAAACCTATTGTGTATGTGTTGGCCTGCAAAAATAGTGCAAGTGAAAAGCACATAATCTAGCAACTATTACTTTTTGTGTGTCGAAAAGGACAAACCTTTTTAAAAGGGTTTTAAAAATGTTCACTGTTTATCTGAGGGTGAACTCATAAAGAATGAAAAAGAATGAAGATCTAAACACCAAAAAGGTCTGGTACCCCAAAAAAGTAGATTTTCCTGCCTTGTCATGTAAAAAGTAACTATTTTGAGTCCAAATAAGCTTCTTTTACTGTAATTACTGCTTTTGATTCAGTACACTTTGCATTGCTTAAATATACATGACTGGTTATATCATTAATTTGAATATGAACTTTTAAAAATTAATCAAAGAATATAGAAGGCTTGAATTTGACTTTCTCTTTCTTTGGCGTCAAAACATGTCAAAATGCAGAGGCTAATTTTTCATAGTGACACTTCAAAATAAGATCATTACACACTATTTAGGCCCAAGCAGTTATTAATGTCAAGAAACAAGATTGTCTTTCCTACCATCAAAAAAAAAAAAAGGAGTTTGCTAATCCATACTGAAACTTTGTGAACCTTGTGCTTTGGTCAGATGAAACAAAGATTGATCATTTTGGCAGCAGAAACTCCAGATTGATCAAATATGAAACAAATTAATTCATTTATAGGAAAGCACTTCTTCCTCTCTGTTAGGTTTATAGAAGTATCTGTGATCTGTGGGTTTGTTTCACTTCTAAAGGCTCTCGGTAAAACTCAGCTCCAAATGATCTAATAACAAACGGTAGTTTTAATTTATGTCGAAATTTTCCAAAATGCAGTCTACGGATCCTCTTGTTTGTTTTGTTTTTTCATCCAATACATAAGGGAAACTATTCTGCAGGTTGTTTCATAGAAGTTATCATTTTAAGGTGAAAATTAGCATAAGGAATTATTATCTTATCTTCTTCAATGCATCAAAGCTCATGACACTCAACATGGTCTAACATGCGTCAAAGTACATGCTGCTGGCTGGTCTTTATACCCAAAGAATTTTGCAAGTTTATCATATTTGAGAACATGATTTTAAAAAAAGATATTTTTTATTAGTACTGGGTAATCAATTCTAATACATTAAAATAAAATTTAAATAATTTGCTGTTAAACTTGACATCAAAATGAATAATGAACAATTACCTTTCCACAGGCTGCAACAGATTCCCGACAGGTTTTATGGACATTCAGAGAGCAGTCTACAGATTAAGGCAAAGGAAATCCCAGTTAATTTCATAAATTGACTGACAACAAACTGAAGTATCATATATATGGATTCTGTTTCCAGTGACGTTGGTATTCTTCTGTCATGAAACATACTTAAAGTCACTATGGAAAACTTCATGGCAGCACGTGCAAAGTAATTTAAACAATCTTCAAACACTCCAACCACTACAGGACATGATCCAACACCAGTTCTGACATTAAATACTCACTGGCGCACTGCAACGACTCTTTCCCAGAAACAGGCTTATCACAGGCCACACAGAGAGAAAGAGCAGACGGAGACATGGGAGCGAACTGGTGCCCATTAGACGCTCCCAGCTTCTCTTTTCCCTCCTTTGTCTCTTTCCCTTTTACCTGAAACAAAAGAGGTCATAAATACTTGGATTTTACTCCTTTGGCTGACGTGTACTGTACTTAAAGCCACATTTCTATGTAAACCGCCAAAGATGTAGCACATAGCAGCCCTCAGTTTGGTGCAAGACACCTGCTGGAGTGAGGCTAGCTGAGATAAAGAGGCACATGAGTGGGCTTTTCTGTTTACTTTGCTAAGGTCTACGGGGACAGCTGATGTTAGAGTGCTTTATCCTCGGGGGGCATTAGAGGGATTTCTCTCTGTATGTGTTTGATGGGGCCATATTTATTTTCTTCCCAGACTTTGCAAGGAAGTCCGAGAGCGTGTGTTTGTTTTTTTTGCTGTCCCAGTGTATTGTGTGAGGAAAACATGCCTTCAAGCACATACAAACATGTGTTCACGGGATTACAGCAGAACGTGTTTTTAGTTCTGCAGGCTTTTTTGGAGAAAAATAAGTTGAGGGTGGAAGGGGGAAGCAGAGGGGTGTACTACATGTTATGTAAGGGAATATTTTTCACTATGTCCTCTGCAAAGTCCTGAAGAGAGGAAACTTCTCGCTTTCCAAATAAAGGCACAACTATCAGACAATGGGCCTCCCAGGGCAGGAATTCTGACCGGGCTTTTCTGAGGGCTGTTAAACGTTTTAGTGCACTACTTCCAGAGGCCTTTCAGCTCTGACTTTTTAATTAGAAAGGTCAACTGCACAGATTTTTCAGTCACATTTTAACACATGCCAGCAAAATGTCATCCAGTAGGAATTTTATTTTCCCTTTGGAACAAAGTCCGTCAGCACCGACTCACCTTGGTTTTGCTTCGGGTACTGGACATCCTGCTCTTTAGGAAGCTGAAGGTCCGGCTCACTTTGTACTTCTCCGACTCAACCTTAGATGGGATTATGTATTTATCCCACTCTTCATCCTCAATCCTGTATGGTATATTCAAAGGGAACTCACTCTTACATGATTTCAGAATTACCTCTGCACTAAAATCTAACATGCATCTCTTTTGCTATGAAATGAATAATTATTTTAGTACTTTAGCAAACCGTTAAAGGATGACTAATCAGGAAAAATGGTGTCATGCTGAAATGAAAGAATGTCCAGACAGTCTTCCAGGATCCCTGGTCTACAGATTATTACTCTTAATAACATGCTTGGCATGCTTGGAAGTCACTATGGACTCAAGTAGTTGCTATTTATAGATCCACCTTGGCAAACTCCGGTTATTAATTTGTCATCTAATTTACAGCAACTAATATTGGTTACCACAGGCCTCCTAGGCAAAAAGAAACAATGACAGAGAGATAGGAAAGAAACATGCAATGAGAAGTAACCTTTCCCTATATATTGGACTAAACTACTACACATTCCTGCACAGCCAAATACAAATACAAATGCAAAAGAATAAAAATCTGTGCGTTTAAAAAATGGGCTGTAGATTGGTGCTACAGCAGGGACAGAATGAGATATACCACACGTGCATGTCTATGAGCCCATTTTTTTAAGGAGACATACTCTTTGAGGAACTCTGTAAGCGTGAGATGTTGGACTGATGTCGTGCTCTCCTCCTCTGCTGACTGGGCCCGCTTACGGAAACCCAGAATCCTGTGTGGATATAAAACACCTCAGAAAGGCTTCATATCTTCTTAGGTAGGAAACTGAAAATTAAAAATTTATCTTGTTGGTGGTATCTGGGATTAAGGTTTAAGGAAACTATGTCACAGACATTTGTTATTAAAGGGTTTAAATAGAGTTTTAGTGGAACCAAATTACAACCAGAGAAGCACTAACAGGACACAAAGTCATAATAAAAAGGAATATACAGCAGTTCAAGTGTTTTTCAGATCAGGCCACATAGAAACAATCTGATCTTTCCTAGTTTTTAAGACTAATCCAGTGTGCAAAGACACACAACTGGTTCCAGATTTTCATTATTAACTGAAGAAACTTTTAATGGAGCATCTGTAATTAACAAATGAGGTACATCCAATGATTATGCAGGATGTAGAACCATACTTAGTAGCAATAATCCGAAATGGTTGCTTTCTATATGACTACATACTTTTATGTTGTTGAATCGGATTTTTGGCACCCTATTCTTTACGGAATCTCTTTGTACTTTGCTTTGAGCTGTACAGCATCAAATCTGTCTTCTTTCACATCAAACACATCTCAAAACTTTGTCCTTCTCCACCTGATCTTGGAGCTGAAACTCTTTTTCATGCTTTCATGAGCTCCAATCTGGATAAATGCAAATGTGAACTCTTTGAACCAGTCAATTAAGTTCTGGAAAAGCTCTGACATGTCCAAAATCAGGATTTTTTCAGTTCATGCCAACACTTCTCCCCCACTATCAGTCAGTTTCATGTAAGTTACAACATTTATGTTCTTGGCCAGGCTTCACCTACTGGACAGATCTTACCACTAATTCTAGAATACTTTGAATACTCCATGAAATAAAATGGTGGCGTGACTGAAAAACATGCTCAGACCAGCAACCCTCTGTAACCCTGCCTGGTATGAGGTGTTTCTGATGATATCCTGTGTTTGGTTTTTGCCAAACACGATTCTGTTGGCTTTGGCATCACTGTTTCAAAGAATATATTTCTAGCAGTCTTGTGATTCATGTTATTTTGCAGATAATTATGGTCACATTGGTGATTATCAGTTAATAAGTAATGGAAATCTATCTTCTATTTTGTCTTTGTCTTCGTTTAATTAACAGTCACACTGCAGAGTGTGTTCTTTGTGTTTGTACACTTCAGGGTCAGCTTTTTATAAATTTACAACCAAATCGTTTTTATTATACCCTGATACATCCAGCTGCAGAATTAATGTGTTTTCTTTTCAACACTATTGTATCTCTAGTGCCTATGCATCCAATATAATTTTCTAGTTGTCTAATACGTAGGGGCTTACCGAGTTTTCTTCATGCAAAATCCCATAACATCAAAACATCACAATATTTCCTATTGAAGTGACTCCAATCTCAAACCCGAGCCAGTTGCGGTCATGGTGGCTTTGCCTGATCTTTGAAGTTTATTTTAAAGTAACATTAAAATTCTGTCCTCAGTACAACTCAGTATTGTCTCGTCTTGTGAGTTTTATGTATTGTTATATCCCTACCATTATAATGCCCTGATGTTTCCTATGTTAAAGCAGTAAATGTTTTTTAACAAATGATGAAGTCAGTGAGATGAAGATGAACAATGGTATATGAATGAAATATGTTACATGAATGGAAAGAATTTAAAGCAAATGTTACTTCAGAACAGCTGTTTAAATCACCACCCAACATAAACACTACAGTATGCACACACAATAAATTCAGTACCACTAATGTGGTACCGATGTTTCCTGATGTTTCTTGACATCCAAGAAGGCCCAGGGTTTTGCTGTTTACTCTGGGTTATTTTGAGGTTGCAACCAGAGAATACTCTCCAACCCAGCCTGGCTACAGGAAGCATGTCATATCCTGCACACTAAGACCCTGGGTAGTTCAAAATCAGAGCGATACAAACACAAAACCTCCCACACATGTGTACACATTCGGCCTCCATCTAAGCCAATCTCTATCTGCTGTTCATTGCTGATGACTAAAAAAAGGGACGTAGGTCTGAGTGAGAGCACACACAGTTCAGCAGACCTGATGGTCAGGAAGTGACGTGCTGGTTTACCTCTTTTCTCTCGTCGTTTCAGTCAGGTTGAAGGCTCTCTGTTCTGTAGCAAGGAAACAAAGAAGTTAGAAATATAAGTCAATGCATTTGGAGATACAATGCAGTGAAAAAAGTGTTTTTTTCCCCATCAGATCTATTCTGTTTTTGCTTTGTTCAAAAAAATATGCTTCTCCCCCTAATGAACAAAATCACAGTGTGAAAACCCATGTCTTTAAGATGTGAGTAGAGCTATCTTTTAAGTGTGACCAATACAAAAAACAGAAGAAATCTGTAAGCGGACAAATCTTTTATTTTTTTTTTCACAGCACTTTATTAGCTGCCACAGAATCACAGAAAGATCAGCTGACAGAATTGGAAACCCCCACCAGATCTCATTATTATTTAGAGGCAAAAACAGGGATCACATAAAAAGGCTGAATCCAGCAAAACCCAATAGAGCAAGAACAAACACAACCTTTTCCATGAAAAACCAGATGACAGTGAAGATGGAAAAATAAAAAGCCAAGAGGAAAACAAAACGTGACCAAAGGGAAACATAACAGAAGCCTCAGACCAGAAACAATTCCTCCATCCATCAGATGATCAACGGGAGCCGAGTGTTATTCCAAATCTCCATTCTTCTGCTTGTCAGCCATTATAGGTTCTTTTGTGTTATGAATTAGTTTTTGGAAAACTATTATTTTGTTATTCATGGAGGGAAAATAATGAAGATTGGAAAAAGGTCTGCTTTTGATTACTGGACATCTGAAAATATGTTCTTTCAGTGAGACAGTGGTCTCATGCTCACCACCATGAATTAAATCCCACCACAAATACAGAACTGCACAATTAGGGCAACAATGGGAAACTACTGGAAAGTTTATTATACAACAAAAACAGGCTTTTATTTTCTGCTTTTCTGATTTGTTTTTAAGTCTTTATAGATTTAAAAATATAACAATCTCAAATGTGCCTTGTAATTGAGCAGCTCTTCACATGAAATGAGTCAAGAAACAGTAAAATGCTTTCACCAGCAAACCAAGTTGATGTCTAAGTTGCAACCTGCACTCATACTTACTAACTTGGGTGAGACGTGATAATGATTTAGAGAGAGATAAAGCCTGAAGTAGCGAACGACCGCCGCTGCTCAATGTGCCATCTAAATGGAATAAAGCAGGAACGTAATGCTGAAAACTTTTAGTTTAAAATCACAAACTACAATTGTCTCATCATTAGTAGTGCCACTGCAGCGCTATACCAAGGCACAACTGCACATTATGGTACTTGAACTGTCCACATTTTTCAGTTCAGCTGGCTTGTAAACACAAAAGCGGGGGATCGCAGGACAAAGATGCCAAAGTTCACGCACCTTCTTCCAGATCATTGACAGCTGAGTCCCGGTTCAACAGAGGCCGCGATGGCCTCGCCTTAGGGGAGGAGTAGGAGTAGGAGCGCATACGAACCTCAGCATCTTCTGAATTCTGGGTAAGAAAACACGTGATGAAAATGTTACTTGTAAAAATGTTCACAAGTTCAGTCAATGAGCAGGGAAATTTGGAGAACAGCACAATCACATAAGGCAAACAGACCCATCTCTGACCTTTAGGCCTCATTATGGAGCTATTGATAATCTGACCTTGTCTACTGATGGCTGTCAAGGGAGGTTGTGTTTGTTGGAAAACTTGTAATGGAGGATGTTTTTTGTGGAATGACTGAACAGGGTTCAAATTTGAATTTAGTTTTAAAAGGGGTATAATCGGTTTGATGGAAAAGATTACAAAAATATAGTATATAGTAACACTGAATCCAACATGTTAGCCACTGAAGGTTTTTTCTAATTATCCAGCTCCAGTTTTCATCTGCTTCTAATGGACTGAGATGTACCTTGTTGGACGTCTTTGCAGTTTCAGAGTGTGAGCGATTAAAATCGGGTGAAGTGTCAAAAGAGTCCCTTTCTTCTCCAGAGCTGGACTGCAGGACGGACCTCTGTTTCGAAGATGAGCAAGGGTAGGATTGGCCCAATACATCCTCTTCTTCACTGTCACACTCTAGACTGGGGCTATTTACCCACAAAGAGATGCAAAACACACAGATAACACACATGGCATGGCTCAGTTTTGACCCTGAATGCTAAAATATAAATTTTTCCAGCATCATTCAAAGTACATACAGGTAAATTAACAAATGTAGTTGAAGTCCTGGATTTGCCTGTCTTTTTATGGCTGTGTAAGTCTTGTGTCTTCCCCATTTTATAAACTCAACATAAGTCTTGATCTAAGTTAAGAAAGGAGTGCCTCATAGCTGTGTACTCAGACCATCACATTTTACTTTTATGTAATTCCGAGTCATTACGTTATTTCTCATCAGGTTCACTGCATTTATAAGTCAACTCTTGTCTAGCAGAAAATATCAATGCACTCAAACGTAGCCACAGTAAAACCCTGTTTGTGGCAGTGAGTGGGAGATGTGTTTCTAAATATAGATTGTTTGTCTAAAATCCTGAAATCCAGTTTCAGTGTATGACCAGATGTGAAAGCCCCTAAATACTCCATCCATCTGGGAACTTGTGGCTGAAATTCTCAATTATGATTTTGTAATTTTCCATCAACATAGCTTAATATCTTATTTTGTTGTCAGAATCTCTAAGAAATGGCAAAGATATCTACATAAGATAACTAACTTACGTGGTTGATAACTACCTCAGATCAAGAGGATTCTGTAGAAATGATCTTATTCTTCAAAACTTGAAGAATAAGAGTAGAGTGGCAACCCACACAAAATAAAACTGAATTGCCAGAAAAATACATTTTTCATGATGAAGCATAATATAGTTCTATTTTTATTCTGTTAAGATAGGTACCAGCTCTACCTTTCTGTCAGATTTTCTGAATTAGCAAAAAAATCTCCATACTTTAGATGATCAGCAGCTGAAGGTGATGCGTTTTATAGAAACTGTGTAAGGCCTTTGTTGGATTTTTCTTGAAATTGAACATGATTTTCAGATGCTGTTCTGTTGTTTCATATTTTTCTCTTAGGCTGACACTTTGGTGCTCAACTTGACCATTTGTCCTGAGATTTTCAAGCATGCATTGGACAGCTTGTGAACAGAAAAAAGTTGTTTAAAACTTAAAAAGTAAAATTTTTCAAACAAAACAAAAATTTAAGCAAAATGTAAATTCAATACTTTTCATGTTAAAAGATAAAGAGTCAGCTTGTCACCTCCTGTTCATAAACATAAAAATTTAAGAAGGTCCTTAAGTCAAGTTCGACAACATACTAGTTTCTGGTAAGCTTCAAAATTTATTTGAGAAATTCAGCCACATTGCCCTCGTGACCCAGAAAACAGTACTAACTACCATTGTGTGCAAATCTGAGCATCATGAAGTCTTCTGAGGGATTTCCTGAGGTCAAACCTCACTGAGGAAACTCACACAACAGCTCAAATGCATCAGGACTTCTTTCTTTCTACTTCATCTTCACTAACTGCTGCAGAAAATGGCTCAAAATAGTTTAATGAAGCAGCTGCATTAAACTTAGCTGTCTTACCATAATGTCTTAAGTATTTATTGCAGCAAGATCACACAGTGATGAAACCCACAGCAGAAACAGAATCATACCTCAGGCCCCGGCACGCATCTGTCAAGCTGCACTCTTTGTGCTTCAAAGCTGGAGAGTCCGAAGGACCAGTCAGCGTCTGTCGCCTCTGCCCTCCCTCGAACAAACGAATTGCGGAAGCCAAGGGAGAGGAAGGAAAAGATGGGGAGGAGGCAAAGGGATAAGGGGGAGAAACACAAGAGTATGCCTCCCTGCCATTGTCCCAGCCTGGGCCCTGACTTCCCCTTGGCCTGTGATGGGGTGAGGATTGGGAACGATTCTGGGAGCAATTCCCCGATTCAACGAGAGTGGGAGAGAAGGAATCCCAGCAGGATGAAGGGCTGACCTCCTCCTCATCCCCTGGAGACCGAAACTTAATGTCAGCTCCATCCACCTGAAGCAGAAACGGGAAAAAGCGAAAAGAAGAAACTTTTCTGTATGCAGATTTCTGTGTTTTACATTAAAAGAACTTTCACTCAGATTAAAAAGTGATTGTAGCTCACCTGGTCCACCAGCATGGCGTTGGCGTACACTTGGTCTTTGCCGTGTATCATTGCTGAAAGTCTGGCAGCTGCTGCCCGAGTCGGGGACGAGGCCTGGCTCTCCCTTATAGACTGGCTTTTCTCTGCACGGAGAGGGGATTTTTCAATATTACATTTGGTTTCCAGAGCAACACCAAATGACTGCTCACAAACACGGGAAGTGACATAGACATCCTGGGCAGATGCATGTCATTGTTCAGTATCAAGACTCTCTCTCTCTCTCTCCTTGAGTGTGTGTGTGTGTGTCAGGGATTTTTGCACATACATGAAGTTGCTGTGGATGGAAATCTGTAGATATGTTTGTTCCCCGCCCTGCTTTTTGATACAGCGGGTGAGTGGAAATAACTCCTGGCGAGCACACAGTGGCATTGAGAGGAACCCTTCCAACACAGAGGAGGTACTGTGAGCTGCAGCCTGGCTGTGCTGATCAGCAGGGGAAAAACACACACACCTCTCCCTTGGGCATGTTGCTCTACACAAAGCACACCTTCTCCGCAACACAGCTTTTTTTTTTTTTAAATATATCAGGCTACAATGTAGCATATGCATAAGCTGCAGCCCCATGAGCCTCTGAGGAAATACTAATAGTTAGCTATTGTTCAAACTTATCTGAACAAAGCACAACGAAAGGGCTGTAAATGCTAAGTCAACTCAGGAATCTGAGAATGCCCATTTTAAAACACAAACAGTCAGGCTCAAACTGCTGATGAATATCATGTGATTGATCAAAAGCCGTCAAAGACTTCTTAGTTTTCAGGGTTAAAGTAAAAAAGAAAGAAGAAGAAGAAGTAGAGAGGAAAAAAGTATTTTGAAACTCAAAGCTACAGCATGTTTGTGATGATTGATTTTAATTTGATTTAAACTTCAGTGAAGTTCCAGAAAATTTCCACTGTTTCTAACTACAAAAATTGTTTACAGTCTAATTTTGTTAAATATCATCACTGCACTCCTTGGTCAACCGGTGCTTTATCTCATCTCAAACTTGTATAGTTTTTCTATTTTCAAATCATGCTGAACTTAAGTTTTTACATGTCGCTTTCTCCTGATTAACCATATGTAAACAGCTCGACTGTGTACAGTCATGTGCAAAATTACAGACTATTTTTTAGCTCTATTGGCAATGTACAGCTTCCCCTCTACAATAAATGTTGCACACCTGGTTCTCTCTTACCTTTCCAGAAAGATTAGATTCTTTTTTGCTACTTTATATTTTTTTAATGTAGGGATCTCAAGCTCCAAATCTAATCTCACCATATGGTACAGTTGTGTGCATTTTAGTTCAATTGCAGGGATCATATCCCTTTCCATTTCAAACATTTTCTCACATAACAACCTCACACCTCAGTGGATTTTATTGGGGTTTTATTGACTAGATTAGAAAGGTAATAGGAAATGGATTATCGTCAGCTGATATTTTCAGCAGATATAAAAAAGTGCCTTTATTTCCAGAACCAATCTTCGACTTCGCCCATTATTTATGAAATGGCGCACTTGGAGGCTTTTTTTGGCCTATACTCTGACTCAGAGGATTTGCTAAATTAAACAAGCATTTAAAATCTTGTTGTTAAGCCAGAACTGTAAACATGTTTCAAAGTGCAATGTAGTGAGTCAGAGTATTTATTTTCTGAATGAAGTGCATTTCTTTGAAAAACCACAAGTGTAATGACAGCAGTTCAACAGCAACAAATCAAGATGTCGAGGGTGTGATATATTTAGGTCATTGTGAGACACGCGTCTAAAGTCATTATTAAGAAATCACAACACATTTAAAAGACATTAATAGCCCACACAGTCTGAGAAAGTTTCTGGGTGATTACCTTTTCACCAGAAAAAAATGTGAAGATAAAAGCTCCAGTTGGTGTCTGTATAACTGGATATAAAGGTTGTTAAGACTGAAGTTTTGTCTAGGATAAATCTCATGTCATTATTGTTCAACTCTGTGATGAACCACAACAGTTTGTTTGATTCCCAAAACAATTCGAAAAACAAAGAAGACAGTTTAAGTAAAAATCTTTTGCATTTTTTAAAATTTACTTTGGTTTGGTTTTGGTTTTTGATGGTGTATTATTTTATAATAGGGACTACAAGGTATTTTGTATAATATTAAATATAAGTATGTAAAAAAAAAAAATAGGAGTTTGTTTGAAACTAGACAGAGGAGGGACGCTCATGAGCTTAGGTAAATGTTAATTATTTTTATAATACTCATTTTACAACCTTTAAAGCTCCCCTCCAATTATAACAAGGGGTGGTGGGTGAAAAAATATTTCTAGCAGAAATGCTTCTACCACTTCTCTTCCAGCATTGTTTAAAACCAAAACTCTGCAGTATTCTTTAAAACAAATCCATCGTAACTATTAAAGTGAGCAGAAGAAGAGAGGTTCAGCATCTGAAACACAGAATAAATCAGACCCACAATTGGCTGTGCTTCCTGTGGGCGGCAAGTCCCATAAATCTGAGAGGCAACGGGGAGTCAAACGGACACTGATGAGGACGCCAGATGATTCCCGTCACATTCACATTAAATCTAAATGAATTAACTCTCGTTGAACCAGTCGAGTGTATACAGAGATTACCCGACATCGTTCCTCATTCTCCAAAGTCCTGACATACCCTTCAAACAGACAGCAAACCGTTGCGGCTACTTTCTTAAATCCTCCGGGTCCAACAAGCTTCTACTCTGTTTGAAATGTGAAACCACATCTGAAATATCTGCACAAAATCACATCAGGCACGCTACTACATATCATCGGATTAGAACGAGTCCAGCAATTTAATTCACAGGGGGTGGTTATAGCCTGGATGGGGATCAGACTGCTGTCTGAAAGTAGATACGGTTTCATATAAACCCATGTCATGAACTTGACAGACAGGCTAAATATTTCAGGTTCTGGGCCCAGTCCAAAGCCACAGCTGGCTGCCATGGACTCAATTACTCACACACCTCTGACCTATAAACAGTGACTCAGTGAACATTACTGTCAGGCAGCAAGATCTGTGTTTAGCATCAGTTAACCAGTGAAATAAGACATTAAACTACAAAAGAGTTTTAATAGTAGTGCACAATATCCCTCTATATTTGTTTTGTTGTTCTCATAAAAGGTACAACTCTCCACAACAATTGGTACCAATGTTAAAGATACATAACAATTCTTAAATATATTTAAGTTTAATTCAGATTAATTCTAAAAACTTTGAGGAAAAAGCAGTCTTACAGTCTGCTTGACTTAAAAGAGCTGTATTATATATTTTCCGGTCACTAGAGATTCAATAATGCATGAAAGAATCAAAGCAACATTCCAAGTATGTTTTTGATGAGGGAGCAACATCTGATGTAAACCTTAAAAAAGGAAATTTTACTTAATACTCCTTTATAAAAAAAATTTTAGGGGTGCCAGTAAGTGATGCACAAGTGATTTATTTTATTAATAGCATAGTCTTATAAAACCTATTGTTTAAAAAGAAAAACAGATAGTGTGACAATTGACAGTCAACTGACAGTGCAGAATCATGATGATAGCTGAAGGGTGAGGTTGTCACTGAGGATTTGAAAGTTTCATTTAAAAGTCAGAAAAACTAGCTGACAGCCCTCATGAAGTCACTTTCCAAGCAGCTCTGGGTTCACTTTCCAATATATGGCCTCCTGCATTCACAATATAGGAAAAGTTAAATTACCAAACTATGGCTAATTTCTCATGGTTTGCTTCTCACAAAAACTGTGTTAAAAATTGAGTGAATTATCTATTTGTGAATATGTTTTGTGTGTGAATGGTTAAAATGGCTGCTACATGGTGAAGTAGCTGCTTGCAGCAAGATGGTTCTGGATGCAAGAAGTTTGCATATTCTCCCTAAAGGAGGCTCTTTGTGGTTCTCCCACAACTCAAAAACAAGACTGTAGCTTATTTGGTCTCTTTAAATTGTCCTAACATAAAGTGTATGTGTGCATGGTTGTTCCTAGTTGATTGTGCTTTACTTAATCCCAACTAATTTCCTCATATCTACCTTGAAATAGCCAATAATAAAACCAGTTAAACAAATAAAACATGCCTAATCTTTGTTTTGAAAGAGTAAAACCCTTTTTTACAGTAACTGTTCTCTCACAAACATACAGTGATCTGCTTCAATTATAAATAATTCAAACAACAGAAATTATACAAAGAAATATATTGCACAGTAATGATTGTAGTTCCTCAAAAACAATCTAAATCAGCTTGTCAATGCTTTACAAAACCTGGAAATTGTAGTGATTCTTCAATGTTTACCAAACATCCTAATAAATGCAGCGTGTTTAATGTATGTGGAGGGATGCGATAGTCAGAATAAATTGCTATGTGAGAGCTAACTATACAGTAGCAGCACCATGAAAAAGAGAGCATGTAGGTCTGCACAGACAAAGACAGCAGTCACAGTCAGGCTTCCAGACCAGGGCAGTTAAACATGCAGAGAGTGACCCTTCAACTCCCGCACACCCCAGGGAAAAGGAGACGGAGTGTGCTTTGACACAAAAACACTTTCTCTCAAGGTTTCTGTCCAGCTAAAGTGTTTATGCTGAAACCAAAAGTTCCAGATAAATAAAATTATTATCAATATAAACATTTGGAGCAATTCCTTTTGAGAGCTAAAGAATAATTTGCTCATATTAAAACATTTCTTATGATGTAAGTTTCTTTTGAAACACCTATCTAAACCAGCAGTCACTCTGAAGATAGCTGAGAATAAAATAATAATCAAAGTCGAAAGGATTCATAACAAATGTTGAAGTATAATTTTTCAGCTTTGTTTTAAAGGACATTTAAACCATTAAAAAGCTGCTCACCAATATCCACAAAAATGGCTCTGAGTTATGACACCTGTGGTCGAACTTCCTGGTCCAAGCATCACATACTCGTCGTGTTTACATTTGAATGCATGAAGAGATCAAGTCAGAGAGCCAGACTGAGCCAGCGATCATTTCTCACCAGTAAAGAAACAGCCAAGCAGCTGTGCACACCTGAAATCACGATTCACTTTTCATGTGTTGAAAAATGAAAATGTCTGTAAATGTTGCAACCTCTTGTGAGATTTAAATGTTTGTGTAGAGAGA